ATGAAAGATAGTTACGGATACAGATGAAATCGCGAGTATGTTAACGATATACAGGATGGAATTATTCTATATAACATGGAGGAATATTAACAGCCTATATATATATATATAAATGTATATTACAGCGACTTAGTACCCATGGTATTGGGAACAATCTTATTAATATCATAAACGCGAAAGTTTGTATAGATGGATGTTTGTTACTCTTTCACGCAAAAACTACTGAAAGAATTTTGATGAAACTTTACAGTAATATAGCTTATACATCAAAATAACATTTAGTTTATAAATTTTATACTGGTGAAACTGTGGATACAGATACTATATTTGTTTGTTTGTAAACCAATTATAATAAACAAACACTAAATAATTGAGGTTTACCACAATAGGTACATTATTGAAAACCGCACACAAATCGGTGAAGTAATTTATGAGATTAGCAGGCTCAGATGAGCAGACAAAAATTGTAAGAGTCAATATTTTGGGTTCTATTACGTAGATAAACTCCGTCAATATTAGTTTTTCTCATATCTTCTATGTACAGACAGCGATCGGTTACATTTTTATTATATATCTTAATATATATAAATTTCTTGTCACGTGTTTATCCGCGATGGAATCCTAAACTACTAACTGATTTTGATACAATTTTATATGCACACTTGGTAGGTCTCAGAATAAGTTCTTATCTACTTCTATAATCCTCAACTATTAGGGTGCCCACCCTAAAAAAACATTTTCTTTACATTTTCTTTTTATTTACGATTCGACATTACATACATACAAAGCTAAATTTTCACCGTTCTATCATCAACCCCTATTTTTAAATAGTTATTTTAATTTGTATAGTAAAACAACGTTTACAGCGACAGCTAGTATATAAATATATAATAATAATATTCTTTATTTGTCTCAAACAAAAACTAATACAATTGTTGTCCATACAATAATAAAATTTAAAAGTACTGAAGGAGACAAAAGGGCTGAATGTAAAAATACGCTGCCACTCGCGCTGCCAGTCCTTTGACTCGCGCACGAAAAACAGACAGGAGCGCCGGGCAGCGCGAGTGGCAGCGCCAATGGCATGGGAAGTTTTTCCACTTCTGTTTACACTCTCGCGCTGCTCACTTCCCTGCCCACTCGGGCTGAGTGTAAATTGGGCATAACTCAGTGAGGGCAGTGAGTCCATCCTTTCTGCTATTCTGTTATAGCCTTTAACAGTAAATTAATACAATAAGAGATCGACGACGACGATAGCACATAACTTCTAAACTTCTACTAACAAAGTAATCATAAAAATTTACATTAACTTAACAAGATTACATAAACTACTAATATATATAGATAGCCAGTTTGTCATGCTCGATTAAGTGTTGAAGCTTTACTACAATGTCCACCACTCCACTATACTTGTCTAACTGGTCGCGCGTTCGATTCCCAAACCGGTACATATACTTGTATATTGCGAATATTATTTTTTATTAGCATACATACGGCTAGAAGCAAGTTATAAAGAATATATAACTAAATGTTTTGAATAAAAATTGTTGCAATAAAAAAAAATTGCGAGTGAAAGTTTCGCCAGAATCGATCGAGCCGTTTCAGAGATTAGCAAGAACAAACAGACAAAAAATTTTAAATGTTTGTTTTTATACAAGTATCGTATATATTTTCAAGGTATTTAGGGAAAAATTGTTAATTTGAAATTACAAACTGACAAAAAATTTATATATATGTATATATTATTTTTATCAGTTGTTCATTATCTATAGTACAAGCCCTGCATTGTTTGAGACTAGAACGCTACATGTGTCGTATATATTTTCAAGGTGGGTACGACTTCGTCCACGTGGAATTTTATTTTATTTTTATAAATAATACATACATACACACTTAGAACAATTACAATAATTCATCTTATATTATTTAGATGATAGACGGCGATGCAGATGTACTTGTTTTATTTAGTTCTCCAATTACAGGAAGTGCACGACACACTTATATTAAATGTTTTCACTAAAAAAAATATATATCTCTGTTATCCCTAATGCGCTGCCTGCAAAGCAGAATGGCCGTTCCGTTTTCTTTTTTTCAATGTTGGTGGTGGCTTTACAGTGACGCCACCAACATCACAATAATATTGTTACTCTATGGTTTTAAATTTAAAATGTAAGCAATTAATTACGTTCTCTATACATTGAATCTAACAATATGAATGCCGTGATTGCGTGTCACGGAGCGCGTAACATATTTATATTGGTCAAGATCGAATTTAATAACACAATAAATATTTATTTATTCAGATTAATCGGATTTAGAGACAAGCATATTTGCCTTGTTAATGTTGCCATTACTGAACAAAAATTTTACAAAACTATAGTGTTTTTTATGGAACCGTATTTATATTTAAACACTAGCTGTGCTCTCGACTTCGTCCGCGTGGAATTTACTTTTCAAACACAAAATATTTTTTTTAATATAAACGTAAACTAAGTTACTCCTTATTACATCAGGTATCTGCCGAAAAAAGTCCCGTCAAAATCGGTCCAGCCATTTCCGAGATTAGCCGGAACAAACAGACAGACAGACAGAAATTGTAAAAAATGTTATTTTGGTATATATACCGTATTTATATTCATATGAATGTAGTAAAAAACGATTATTTCAATATTACAAACAGACACTATAATTTTATTGATTCACCTGATTCGATTTCACCGAGCGATTCCCCGCCCAATTCAAACGGAGATCGAAATAACGACGACCTAAGCTGAGGTTCGAGCCTCTGCCTGCTTTCAGACTAAAGTCGTATCCGTTGGCCTTTAGATGTACCATTCCAAGTCCTTTCGCTGGTTTGGAATGCCATCTGCACTCGCCCCCTATCGTTCTGTAAAGCTGCAAAGGCCAGGCGGCCAACAGCATTAGAGTAGTCCGAAAAACCGAGATAGACTTTGTGTATCCAAAATAAGGAAAGCAAAGACCCGCCCCCCGCCCCCCATAGTGATTACGTAATACTTGAACGGCCCTAAACGCAAAAAATATGAAGCCGCAGTAAAGGTCTATTATTTACATTGTATTTACGAAAATCAAAATTTTCGAACTCTATTGCCATTGACCGCAGCTAGGGTCAATGGCAATAGAGTTCGAAAAATTTGATTTTCGTAAATACAAAAAAAATTAAGTTGCAATAAAACATATTATTATATAACTAAGAGCATGCAATAATAGACAATATTGCTTAATAAAGTAATATACAGTGATGTGCCACATTCGCTATCTAGAATTGTAGATCAGGTTCATTGAGACAATGTACAATGACATTGATTGATGCGCGATTGAATTGATTCGAATTGACGATTTGAGGCCATTTCTCGAGGAAGTAATAAATAAATGTCACATTTTTATACTCGCAATTTTTTTTTGTTTTACAATTCACATGGAGAAGTATTAATATAAGCAGATTATTGTCAGTACTAGTTAGGCTAGGCCCGCCACGGCTCCAGAGACTGTTCCCTGCACGCCTAGATGGAGGTCCCTTCGATGGGAACCATGCCGGTGGTCTTGGTGAATGCTTTGCGTATCCCATGGTCACGGCGATTATGTCGAGGAGGAACAGTCGTCAGGTTTTTAGCAGGTAGGAGTCCGGCAGTATCCATTCTTCCCTAAGGTAATGGTTCTCCATGATGGATTTTCCTGACGTGAAAAAAAAAAAAAAAGGCCCGCCACGGCTAGGCTTCGCAAGGGCTCTATATACTATATGCCTTATACCGCGGGCATGGGAGATGAAATTTATAATCTATGTGTTATTATTCTATATAAGCTATATTACTGTTTTTATCAAAATCCGTTCAGTAGTTTTTGCGTAAAAGAGCAACAAGCATCCATCCATTGTCACAAACTTTTGCGTTTATAATATTAAGATAAGATAAGATTTAACGGTCAACTATAACTAAACGGAACCCCATTTAGTTCCTTCATTCACCATGAAATAGGAAATTAATATATTTATATGTATAATCTTATTGTATATTTATATTTGACCCAAATAAATTAGTGCTGGTTGGTAGTTTGTATTCACACGTTTCGACTTGTAAATGTAAACTTACAAGGATTATTTAAAAGAGTAACACACAAGTTTCTTGCTCGTTCTTGTGATGAGACAGCTTTCCGAACGAGCGGTAGATAAAAATTCACATCAATACAAATATATACTCATGAGTACAAATATTTGTATTGTAATACTAAGAACTTTGGTTAAATAACACAGCGCCATCTAGTTCCAAGCTGGGCAGAGATTGTGTTATGAGTACTAGACAACTGTAGGGTAAACACAATCATATTATACATAAAAAACACCCAGACTGATACAAACAATCATACTCACGAATACCAATGACCGTGCGAGAAATCGAACCCGCGACCATCGCAAGTAAACCACTGTTCCACCGCGGTCGTAAATCGACAAAAATCTGAACCTCGACCATCATGCATCATTTATTTTTTCCATTCAGTAATTGTGTGGTTTGTCTAATTTAAACATATTAGAATGTTCAATCATTGAGTAATAGACATACATACAATCTTAACATTGAACTTCAATGTTAAATATGTTTACAAAAGAATCTTCCCTGATTTATTGTATACTTGCGACTCGTCGCGGCTTGGCACGAATGCATTACAAATCTTTGAATATTTTATTTTTTCTATACTATAACAAGCATGTATTATACATTTAAACCTTCCTCTTAAATCACTCTATCTATTGCTGAAAACTGCGTTAAAATCCGTTGCGTAATTTAAAAGGTATAAGCGAACAAACAGAAGCGACGGTAATTTTATATGTACAGACACCTCAAACTTTGTTTTGTTCTCATTCTGTGACATTTCTACGTTCATAATTTAAGAGCCACCCTCTTGTCGGTGGAGCTCTTGCTCTCATTTTGTATCAAGAATTTAATAAAAAAGCGAAATTATTAATTATCTCCTCTTCTTTGTTACAGGAGGTGACGGATGACAGCGACGGCTGTGGAGCCAAGTTCTCTGTTATCATAGTATCTGATAAGTTCAAAGGGAAACCGCTTTTAGCACGGCATAGGTAAGATGCTTTTTAGAATATCACTATTTTAAGTAATTTAGATCTGTCAAGTTCGTAATTAAAGTAAATTAAGTTCGTACTTACTATCGTCTGTTAACAGTTGCCATTGTGTCTAACTGATATCTAGAAATAATATAAAGGAAAGCCGGTAATTTCTTATCAGTTACGTTCTTGCTTCTTCTGAAGCAGATAAATGACGTTTTTACTATCATTTCGAGAATTTCCGGCAACGGCATATCTACGTCACATACACTGTAGCGAAGTGTAAGTTGATTGATAACACTGTATAGAGTATAAACAATATATGAATCAAGATTAGGTCTCACTGGACACTGCAAATTGAATAAATATGTAACGAAATTAGGCCTTAGTTAGACCTTCCCAACAATCTGCAGATTTTGCCAAGCTGAAGAGGAAACGCCACTACACGTCCTATGTGGTTGTAGCCCACTCATGCATAAAGGAAATATCTCCTTTGAAAAGTATACACTCTATCCTTTATAGAAACCATCGTTCTGAAGTATATTCTTCAATTCTTATCCCTTACGGGTCTAGGTAGCTACTCGAACTTTGAAAAACGGCGAGTACAATAGATCTATGCAGGTCGCAGTGTTGCAGGTCTTAGCACCTGACAATAACCCAAAACCCCCTATAAAAAAAAATGTTCTATACTTATGTGTTATCCTACAGAACCATTACTGACTTTGAGTCAGAACAATTGCTACTATCAATAACTAACGCATCTTGGATTTATCTCATTACTAATCTAAAAGCAGCCTGACAAAATCTTTTCAAATGAATTCAAATTAGGGTCCTAAGTTCAAGAATGTGACAGCAAAAATAAAAATGTCATTGTGTGCTGATGGATGAGGGGGATAAGACAACAAAGGTTTAGGATCTAATGACGTCGTATTGAAATTTTTAACATAAAATTAGTGTAGTGGAAAAAAAGAAAAAGTTGCGGTTCCCTATATCTATAAATGTAGTTATTACTTCCAAGAACAGGGTTGTCTTTTTATGTAATTGAGATGGAAAACAAGCTGTCCATCCACTTGATGGAAAATCATTATAGTTGTGACTATAAACATGTACAGCATTACGGAAGTCACAAAATGTAATCTAGCAAAATGTAATTTATGGGTAATTATTTAGTATTATTAAACGATTGATCATTCCAAGGACTTTCATGTGTAGCCACTACTTAAGACTTTAGTTCCACAGTCATATCTAATCCTTTAAACCGAAACACATCTGACATGGGAAGCTACTAAGCGGCAGATATATGTATGTGAGATAGATGACCGTACCGACGTAGACGCCTCTGTACAAAGTCCTAAGATACAAAGTGCTTCGTCAATATCGTGCCTCATCAGATATATTAACAACAGCATTGCAATCGGTAATCGAACTTATAACATTTGCATTTTAAGACCATTATTCATTAAACTTAGGAAGATGTACAAATAGACTCTTTTCATAAATGATGCTTTAAATGATTTTCACTCTTATCTTAGACATTGGAGAAGCTATTGTATTACGTAGACTGTTTTTATGGAGAATAGAACCGCTGGTAGTCGTGGTCAAACAAAAAACCCGAAGTGGTCTGCAATGCCATTCTTAAAATCGGACAAGAAACCACGTGACGTCCGTAGCGGGGTCCGGACAGCTGGTTTTAAATAAGAAACAAATCGTCACAACGACGCTTAACTGCAAAATAACAATATAACAGCCCTTTTATTTCCTTATATCCCGAAACAGTTGGTAGTTCTTGGCGAACTGCAAAACAACAATATATTTCTTTATGCCCTTATATTACCATTACCGCAAAATAATTGGTAGTCCATAGTGAGGTAGAAATTTTGTTTAATGGTCTCTCGTCATTGAAAGTAACTATTGCCTTTTGACCTCAGCCAAAGTCAAAAGCGGGGTGGTGTTTTAAAACTATAACACGTGGAAGTTATTGGTTCTATAAATTCACACCCGGAACTCCAAGAGTAAACCAGATGTTTTTCATTACATATTTGTATAACAATGCCACCACAGATATATAAACGTTTGTTCGCAGGTTGGTTAACACAGTCCTACAAGAAGAGTTGAAGTCCATACACGCTTTCACCCAAAAGACACTAACGGTGGAACAGTACAATCAAAAACCTTAAGCTGTAATATTTTTGAGTGATTACAATGAAATAATACTCTTGTAGTTTTTCTTCTATCCTTTGCATTTGTGTTGTGAATGAATGGGACAAGATGTTTAACGGAATGGATTTGTACACTGTGAGCGTGTCGGCGCCGGGGAAGGTGATACTGCACGGGGAACATTCGGTGGTATACGGGAAGACTGCGATAGCTGTAAGCCTCGGCCTGAGAAGTTCCATCGTTGTCAAGGTAACTTTACGGTCATTTTCAAACACAAAATTGGATATTATATCACAATTGCACAAATTTTGTGTATTAACATTTATCTCTACAATATGCACTGTAGCACTTAATTACGCTAATTTTGCTGTAACTAAACTTCGAATTAGAATTTCCTAGACATTTTCTTTTTCTATTTCACTTATTGATTTTAGGGAAATTTTGTATAGAGTTGTCTACGTACTTAGTCTCTTAATTTTTTAAGCAACTTACTTTGCAAGCTGTATGAAGGGTGAGATATGCCAGTAAAATTACAGGGTACACGATGAAAATATAATTCTAAAAGTTGACTATGAAACTTTAGTAGTAAACATCGCAATATTAATTAGTATTTACTGAAAATAGTTGTACTAGTAACTAAAACAGTTTGGCTATTTATATAGCTCAATTTTGTGAATTTTGTGAAAATTACTAAAAATAGTTATTTTTAAACTTTCCAGTATAATAACAATATTATATTGTTAACAGGGTTTTACCATGAATAATTTTATGGTAAATAAATTACTAAAAATAATTGTTTATTACTAAAGTCCGGGATGGACTATAGTGAATTTAATAATTATTATAAAATTTAATAATATACAACTAATTTACTGCAGTTCAGTCTACAATAACTCGAATTTCGTTAATAAATTTTATTTCGGTGCAATAACAATTAAAACGTAGTCGTCAGGATTGGCAACAAGTACTACGGGCGTCACAGTACTTTTTGTAATGCCTGTAGTGTTCACTTTCATGTATATAGCCAACAGTTACTTTCTATCAGCTGCTCCAAAAATTTACAATTTGTTTTCTTTCGAACCAAAAATTCGGATTTTTAGTTTTTGTACGTTATGAATGTGCCCATTGTCATATGATGAGTCTGGTACGATTCGCAAGAAAGTCCATAGATAGATTTTACGTTAAAAAATATAGTGTTCATAAAAACAGCATTAAAAGGGAGTTTGATATCAATAAATAGCAAATTCAAATTTAAAAGTAGTTTATTCGTATATTTTTCCTTAACGTTCCTTCTGTAACATAAAGAAGCTTAATTTACATAGTGTCTTACGTTAATACTAAGATACTTTATGCATTTAAGCCTCTTACGTCTTCTATCCCTTTCTATCTTTTTCTGTGCTCTGGACGATACTGCTATAGATATATAAGCCTTTGGTGTTGGTTACATTTGTAAATAAAGGTGTAAATAATATAAAGATAGTTTATTAAGTAGCAACTAACAAATATATTGATATAAGTACAGTCTGAATTGTGTTTTTACAAACACAAATCAGACAGGTTTGTTTTTAGTTAAATTGCAAATAATTACTGAAATCTTTTTATTTTAGTATATCTATCAATTTAAGTGTATGTTAATTATAATTGTGCTAAAGCAATTACAAAATAAGTACATAAGACACTAAAATTGTGTTTAGGATGCTATATTTTATGTAAATCAAGCATTAAGAATAAAATGCAATAATAATAAATACGCTTCCACATAACGACGTGTAGTAATTGTTGATTTTTATTCCGATGTCTAATTAAGTGGCAGATGAATCAGAAAGAGTACTAGACCCACTTTTCAAAGGAACAAACTGCGTATGACTAGAAGCAAAGGTCCAAGAATAGTGCTCAGTGGTACATCTTATTAGAGGCTAACGTAGTGTAGTAACTCTCAATAGCGGGACTGCAGTGGTCTGTCACTGACGATGACGAAATTGACAAAATAAGAAGTAAATTAAATTACCTGCTTTATGGTGACACTATGAAAACTATTGGAATATTTTAATGACACTTCTCTAATGATCACTGGGTACTGTACCTACCGAGACCACACTATTAAAGATATTGGAAAATTTATCAACACTTTTCTCTGTTGATCACTATATAACGTATCATGCGGAGAGCGAAAGCCTGTAGTAGTCTTTATGGATGCCTCTATACCTCGTCCTAGTAATTGTGACTTAACTCTGATTTTTTTTTAAATTAAGCTTTGTCTATCCTTGTGATGCATTTTGTCTTCATCCCAAAACTCATTAAGATCTGTTCAGGTTCAGTCGTGAAAAAAGAACAAACATACAGATGCATTTCCGAATTTGTTATATTAGTATGGATTTCCGCCGCCAATCGGTTTCCTTAGCAATATTTCTGTAAGATAAGGCGGTGAAATAACAGTATGCAGAAGCATGATCCAAACCTCAAGCATGGTAGTACGATCGTCGTCAAAAATAACATATTCAAAGTTTGTGATATCCGTGATGCTGCTACGAGTATGTAGGCAACGGTCGCAACTTTCCATCCGGTGGGCCATTTGCTTGTCATTCCAGTTACATAAAAAAGAAGCTTAAACCTTTACGTGTATACTGATCGTATGTACACCTATGACATCATGTCAGCAAACGCAATATACATATACATACATGATTTGCATACAAATATAAAATAAGCGTGATATAAATTAAGGTATGAAAAATGTAACAATGTGTCCCAAGCACTTACGTGATGATTAATAATGATGAAATGAATCTACATATTAAAGCAAAAGCGTGAAGCAAATATTTTGTACCGCTTTTTACGACATATACGCGTACGGAGAAGTATGAAATTTTCGCACACTTATCTATACTTATATTATAAAGCTGAAGAGCTTGTTTGTTTGTTTGAACGCGCTAATCTCAGGAACTACTGGTTCGAATTGAAAAATTCTTTTTTTGTTGAATAGTCCAATTGTCAAGGAAGACTTTAAGCTATATAACATTACGATACGACCAATAGGAGCGGAGCTGCAATGAAAAATATTGCAAAAGGTGGGGAAATGAAATGCAGACGAAGTTGCGAGGGTCAGTTACTAGTTTATATAGAGGAGTGCAGAATGTGGGTGTGTGTGTGCAGTGAATTTTTTAATTTAGCATAAAAATATATAAAAGGACGGACATTACATGTATTTGACACACACGCATATATACCCCTGCTTCACAAGTAACTTCACACATGTATTATATATATAAACCTTCCTCTTGAATCACTCTATCTATTAAAAATAACCGCTTGAAAATCCGTTGCGTAGTTTTAAAGATTTAAGCATACATAGGGACGGACAGACATCGACAGCGACTTTGTTTTATACTATGTAATAATGAAGTCTTTGGTCAAAACGAGATTGAGAACAGCTTAATATTGTTTGTATTTAATATTATTTGTGTATAGTCTTACTGACTGTTAAATTAAGTATAGAATTTTGATCATCATTGGGCGATCACTAGTTATATTAAATACAACAGTTCTAACTGATACCCGTTGCTTTATTAAGTAAGCTGTATGTGAGATAAGGCAGTGAAATTTCTTGGTACATAAGCATATCTAGTTTTTGCGTGAATGAATAACAAACATACATCCATCCACACTTACATACTTATATTACATACGTATGTTTATAATACGAGTGTAGCGAACTCCTTGATAGGATTTTATACTATTTTTAAATTTTATAATAAGATTCTTTGACATATTCTTTATTGTTTACTTTCTATTATATATCGCTGTCATACTAGTCGCATTTTATTTAATCTCCGTATTTTCCTCATTAAAACCCTCAGCACCTCTCACTCATCAGACACATTTGATACCTCCGCTTCAACGAGTATCATTGAGAAAACATTGTTGATTTTGATCAGCATAAAATATTTTGCGGATCCTGATTCTTTGGCATCACAAAACAATATTAGACGAGTTATTACATTTTTTTTCGAACTATTCTAAGCTGTTAATGTTTCCGCTGCCCCAGAAGGGGGAGAGTGCGACAGAAGGGACAGGAGTGGAAATAATTTGTAGGGGTCAAGAGATTACGTACTTTTCAGCAGCGGCCTGTGTAACCGAGAGGTTGGAATGGCCATGGGTTGGTGGAGGGTTATTCTAATGCCGTTGGCCGCAGCTGGCCTTTACAGCTTCACCGGACGATAGGGGGCGAGTGCAGATGGCACTTCCAACCCACGGAAGGACTTATGGAGCGGCTTTGAAATTCTTGTCTTGTTCTGTACTATAACACGCGTGTATTATACATATAAACCTTCCTCTTGAATCACTCTAACTATTGCTGAAAACTGCATTAAAATTCGTTGCATAGTTTATAAGATATAAGCGGCTATGATTTTGTTTTATAATATGTAAAGATATCGCTTCTAACTACATTCCGATGATGAATTGTGAGATGACATTGTGTTTTTGTTCCATCAACGTACAATAGGTCTCACACCTGAAAATATAACAAATAACATGTTAATATAGTCGTATTTGTAACAATGGATCAATTAATACCTTGTATAGATATTCTCAGAGCTCTTGTTATAATATAACGACTGTATTTATTTTATTGAACAAATATACTATAACAATTGGACAGATGACGTTAGTAATTATGGAAGTTAAATTTCTTTTGTGATAGTAGATATATTCATATGTTGATTCATATATTGATTCAAATGTAATGGTTTAATTTAATACGCTGTGTTAAGTTCCAAAAGCTGCGGGTTATATTCTCTCACGATATCAACGTATTTATGAGTATGATTGCTTGTATCGGTCTAAGTGATTTCTATATATCACTAGCTGACCCCGCAAAGGTTGTTTTGCCATATAACTTAAGAACGCTATTAAAAAAATAGCGGTTGGTGATGGAAGGGTGAAAATTTACGGTTGTACGTATGTTTTATGCCACATTTTTAAAAATAAAAAAAATTGTCCAAGAAATTAAAAAATAATGTTAGGTGTGGACTATCCTTATCACTTAGAGGTATGAAAAATAAATAGTAGCCGATTCTTAGACCTACTGAATACGTATAAAAAATTTCATAAAAATAGGTCAAGCAGTTTCGAAGGTGCATGGTAACTAACTATTGTGACACGAGTTTTTTTTTGTAAATATGTATATGTGTGTCATCTATATAAATATATATAATAAACACCTAGTGAAACACAACTAGCCCTACGAAAACTCCTGCTGAATCAAATCGCAGCAGAAGTCTATATATGTTCATAAAAAAGAATAATGTCAGTGAAACAAATAAAATTAATAAAAAAAAGACACGAGATTTTTATATATAAGCTAAAGAAGAATATATTCTAGTATTTATATCAGTTGATAGTACCCTTACTGCAAACTTTGCTTAGTGTGGAACTAGTTGGCGCTGTGTGAATTGTGTCCTGGATTTTTATTATTAACTAAACAATTGCCAGTCAGACAATTTGTCTGTAAGTGAGCTTGAGATGTAAGCTAGAACAGACTTTCGAGAAATCAACAACAAATATTTAGCACAGCTTATGATGTCCATATTCTACTTTCCCTGCGTTCCTTATAATCGGCAAGACCATTGTCAATAAGCCTGTTTTGACTACGAATATGTACATAACCAGTGCTGGTTAGGAGTGGATGTGCATCCACTCCTACAGCTCTCGTACTATTTAATGATCTATCTTATCACGATAGATAAAACATTACCAATTGTTAAATTTGATATTAATATTGATCTTAATTTGCATGCCCTAAATGTAGCTGAATATGGAACTATGTATTTATACCTAAGAATAATTAAAACTCAAAATATTTTTATTCATGTAGGTCTATTACAGTAATGTAACTTATTCAAAGCAACAAAATTTTACTAATATTTATAAAAGCGAAAGTTTGTGAGTATATATGGATGGATGGATGAATGTTTGTTACTCTTTCACGCAAAAACTACTGAACGGATATTAATGAAACTTTACAGTAATATAACTTATACATCCGAATAAAACAGCCTATAAATTGCACACGGATGAAATCACGGGCACAGCTAGTAATTAAATATAAATAGTATCTACTACAATGTTTGGTGTGTTTAAGTTTTTTGATAATCATTTAACAAAATCTTAAAAGACCAATCTGTTATTCCAGGAGGTTCATAACAATGGAGATCCAACTGTTAACATCCACCTGCCATGCGTCGATCTCCAAGAAACCCTACCGCTAAAACCCATGGTGCAAGCTCTCTTCAACCCTCAACTCAGTCCCAACATCACCGGCAAATTTTCATGGCGGCTCCCCGACAAATTGAATCACGACAAGCATCTTCGGAAAGTGGAAGATCTGCTGCACATCATCAAACCAAACTTCGACACGCTGCAGAACAACCAGAAGAACTCTTTAAGAAGTTTCTTGTATCTATTCTCGGGGATTTACGGCAGCACGCATCTTCCCGTGAAATCTATGAATATATCTATGGGCTCGGAGCTTACCATTGGTGCTGGGACGGGCAGTTCTGCGTCTTTCGCGGTCTGCCTCGCAGGTGCTCTCATCAGGCTTATGAAGTTAAAGAGTGCCAGCTACGACTCCTATTACGACCAGAGTGATGACTTCTCTATGACCGAGAAGGAGATTATATCTGAATGGGCGTTCAATTGCGAGAGGATCATGCATGGATCTCCTTCTGGTGAGTAGAATTTAATATCTATATTCATGTAGGTCTATTACAGATGTTTATGATATACAAATATCTTTATTGAATGATAGCACATGTAAAGGTGCTAAAATATATTGCAAAGTATCGCTAAGTTCTACTCCAATAAGTTATGCAAAATTAATAAAGTATACGGATTCACCAATGTAAATAAAATCATTAGAAACAAACATAACTACATAATATTTGACTATTATATTTATTATTGAAATATTCCTTAATATATATATATATGGAATAATGCAGCCGTCTGTGCTAACGGTTTACGCTGGCGAGGCACCAGTGGATGATGATCAGATAAACATGAGGTTAGGTCAGTTAGCCCATCATGACAAATTGAGAAGGGTACCACAGTATTGTGGTAATCGAAGGCAGATCATGTCTGCATGTCAGTGACCAACTAAAGCCTTCGTAAATGCAACAAAACTTTAACATTTATTTCAGTTTTATTTAAAAAAAAAAGTATTCCATGTCACACTCAATGTCGCGTATGGACGATTGCGTTTCAACCGTTAAATGACAATTTCATATTTATTACACAATAAATTATGTATATTTAGAGTAGTGATGTGCCACAATCGTGTGTGTCCACGGATACGGATCATTAGTGTCTAGTTAGATAAGCGAATACAGGTACGGTTCGACACTAACTGAGGAGAAAGGTAAATTCTGCGTACAAAAGTAAAGGACGTGCGTACATTTACCTTTTCTCCGTATTGGTGTCGAATGTACTTGACCGTGAAACAACAATTGACGTTTAAAAATCACATTGTTACAATCGCTTCACAAGTTTAATAAATGTTTTAATATTCAATCCAATAATAATATAATTTTATACTGTTCGGGTTGTACCGAAACTATAAAGATTCTGATAGGTAAAACTGATAAATGATACTGATAGAAACTTGATTAAAACTGTATATTGAAACTTAACTATAACTGATTAATGATTGTAATGAGTACGCGCGGCGTCCTTGATGACCGAATGCGAACTGATTTTAATGAAATGTGAAATGTAAAATAAAATGTTAATGTTGCGAAATAATGTACGATGCTAGCTCGTACATATACCATTCAACTAAAATATCATACTGTTCATCTGGATAAATGACGGCTTACAATGTGCGTTTTGCAGAAACTTTGCCACGCACAACCACATTGTAGAATTAAGATGGAATAAGCTGATATCTTGAAGGTTTCAATATCGTACCATTTCGGAAATACCATTGCTGGAAGGTAGCAATGGTATTTCCGAAGCGATACGATATTGAAACCTTCAAGAAAAGAGGTTATATCTTCTTAAGAGACGGGTAAACCACTTGCAAGTCCCCTAGTATTGCGGGTGCTCATGGGCGGCGGTAATTATTATACTTATCATCTATCATAATCTATCATAATATCATCTAAACCTATGCTTTTTTCAAATTAAAATTCAAAACTCATTTATTCATGTAGGACATTTTAGCCGCTTATGAACGTCAAATTTTTACATTATAATTTTATTTTTTCCCTACCGTCCAGTTCGGTATATATATCCAATTGAGAAGAACCCTATGTTTTGTCCCTATGCTATAAAAAAATAGCATTTTGTCAAATGCACATTACTAATTTGTAAATTCTTCATCAAAAGCAAGAGAAGGAGATTGTTAGTAATGTGGTTTCAGGACCCCATTACATGCAATGTACCATGTCAAGTTGACCTCCACGCGGAAACCGTAATGATAAATTCCTGGTGAATTTGTCACGATGAGCTGACCTGACTTCATGCTTATCCTATCATCCTCCACTGGTGCCCCGCCAGCGTAAATCGTTACTGCATACCGGGTATAACATTCCATTATCATAAAAAAAAATGCACGAAGCAACTTGATGAAGAATTTACAACCTTATGCAGTTGCATTACAGTACAATTATATTCGACAGTGCTGGTGGGAATATCCCTAAACATGTATGCCACTTGACAAACTGGTCCTTTGGAATTTTATGTCAGTATCAAGACGACTTTCTATAAATAATACTCATTGAACGTTTTTATTTTTGTACAATTTCTTTATTAAGCTACCCACCCGGCTTCGCACGGGGTGTACATGTATTATACATATAACACTTCCTCTTAAATCACTCTATCCATTGCTAAAAATTGCATTAAACTCCGTTGCGTAGTTTAAAAGATCTCAGTGAACGGATACGTAACTCCTATAACAATTGCAAATTCGCTGATTTGTATTGAAGTGAAAATGTACCGATCCACTCATACATCAGCGTTGTATCCGCGAAAGTGGACGAAATAAAATTTATTTGGGGACTTCTCCTATTATATCATTAGTCATTATTTCCCTACGATCGATTGTTGAAACATCGCAATTACGATAGCATGAGCCGAGGTTCGAACCCCTAGCGGTGCCCTCAGACTAAAGTCGTATTCGTCAGGCGGCCTTCAGCCGCTCCATAAGTCCTCCCGCGGCTTTGATTAGCTGAAACAAACAGACAGACAGACAGACTGACAAAAATTGTAAAAAATGTTACTTTGGTATGTATTTATATTCATAGGCATGCAGTAAAAAACTGTTATTTCAATATTACAAACAGACACTCCAATTTTATTTATATGTATGGATTTGTACGGATACTATAAGAATATCGGCACATCACTAGTTGAGATGTCTCTTACAATAACTACAAATAAACTCGTGGTTTCCAATTAGATTTAATATTACCATACGTGATAACTGAACAGTGACCGTACATATATATACATATATACATATATATACGGTCATATATTTTGACTAGTTGTGCGCGACCTCGTGCGCGTTTGTTTTAATTTTTTATTCAAAAACATAGATTTGCAATTCAAATAAAGTTTTTTTTATTAATACTCTTTATTTTGTTTACACCAGAAGTAAATTATAAAGAAGATAAAATATGAGATTGTGTGCTAAAAGCACTGTGTGCCGCACAGGGCCGTATATTATATAGTTAATAACATATGCTAAATTTATAACAAGGACAAATATAAAATTTACAAAAATTAAAAATCTACAAATATATTTCTTCTTCTTCTTTTAGTTTAAATGGCTTCCACCAAATGAGGTCGGTGATTTTGCCAACGTCGTAGTTTGGGAGACACAGTGGTGTGGTTTACGGTTTTCTTGACTGTGTTCGTAGAAAGGATTGATTTATTACTAGCTGACCAGCGTAACTTCGCCTGCATCACGCTTACTGAATTATTATATCTTTAAAAATTATAGCCTGTGTTATTCCGATGTATAAGCTATATTAATGTAAAGTTTTATCAAAATACGCTCAGTAGTTTTTGCGTGAAAGAGTAACAAACGTCCATCTATACTCATAAACTTTCGCGTTTATAATAATAATGAGATAATAATAATCTTTGGACAATTCTCACAGCGCCATCTAGATCCAAGTTAAGCTAGCTAAAGCTTGTACCCATAATGGTACTAGGTAACTGATACAAATACACAGATATATACATATTTGTAAATACATACATAATACAAACAATCATACTCATGAATACAAATGTTTGCACCGTGCGATGAATCGAACCTCGCGACAATCGGAAGTAAAGCGGAGTGCTAAACCGCTAGACCAGCGAAACCGTCAAATAAATATAAAAAAAGTACAATACAATCTTCATACCAAATTACATACATTTATATGTGAAAAGATAACAAACAGACAGTAGACAGACACACCTTCTAATATATATATTATATATGGATAGAAATATTAAATTTCCAAAACTATGGGCCACCTTGACATGTTGATAGCACCTTGACACCAATACACAATCAGTACAAACAATCGCACATTTTCAAGAAGCATATTATTCAATAAACTATACCGGTGGTCATGACATGACCTTGTAGAGGTCCGCCCCAAGTGTGCCCGGCGCGCGTTTGATTGCGTTCACCCAAGAAAAGTTAGAAAGATAAACTGAGAATAATCTTTCAAATATATTGATATAAATACGTGAAGCTAAAACTTTGTACTAATTTTAAGAAAATTGCGCAAACAGACGTTTGAAATATCGCATACTTATCTTTATATATAAAAAATAGCTACTCGCCTCAACTTCGCCCGGGTGTACATGTATTATATATATAAACCTTCCTCTAGAATTACTCTATCTACTAAAAAAACTGCTTCAAAATCCGTTGCGTAGTTTTAAAGATTTGAGCATACATAGGGACGGACAGACAGCGACAGCGACTTTGTTTTATACTATGTAATGATTACGTGTCACGTTATTTGTCCGCGATGGACTCGTAAACCACTACCTGATTGCAAATTTGATTTGCGCATTGTGTGCAATTTGATCCAACTTGAAAGATAGGATAGCTTACATCTCAATTTATAGTCGCAATATTATTTTATTCAAGAACCTTAGCCACAACAACGCGTGGCCGGATCTGCTAGTATATTATAAATTAGGTTATTCTACTATCTGTTTGTTCTTTTCATGTCTAAACGAATGTAATTCGTTATGATAGTGGCAAACAAGCATACGGCCCATCTGATGGTAAACGGTTACCGTTACCTATAGACGCCTGAAACACCATCACGTACGTCATCACGGGGTATCACGTACTCGTTACCGACCCTTAAGAAACCTTAATATACCCTTCTTGAAAAACCCCATGCTGTAGTCTCGTGAGAAAACCTCGGCAGGTAGTTCATTCCACAATCTAAGTGTACGCAGGAGGAAGCTCCTCTGAAACCGCACTGTCCGAGACCACTTAGGTTCTAGCGTGTGGGGATGAATTCCATGTCGATGGCGAGCGGTGCGATGGTAATAGTTATAAGTCGAATCAATGGAGATTTTCAATTGTAATTTAAATTAAAAAAATAACTTAATTAAACTCTCTTTGTCTCTAAAAAACCCATAATCGACCATAATTATATGTTAATACTCATAGTATTAACATCGCATACAGCTATCGCGCTCGTCATCCTACAGCGGCTGCGCGCCGTGCAATATTTTGAATCTGTGGTGCATTGCGTTTTGCGCGGGAAAAACTAACTACAAAATGGCTTCTTCTGCAGACATTCTTATAAACTATTATATAATCACACGCTAACATATATACTTTAAAGCCCACGCACACAGAGCGGGCAGGAGTTCCAAGTTCCGAGTTCCGCGTTCGGCGTTCATTAGAATGTACCGACTATAACAATAACGCACACAGCGGGCAGTCTGACCGCGGCGGTCAAAACAGAACTTCGCGTTTTAAGAGTTCTTTTCCCGCCAAGACAAGGAACGCCGGAACGCCGCGATGTCTGAGTTTGGAAGCAGGGAAAAGTTGATTGAATTGGTTAGAGATAGGAGTTTATTATACGATTTAATATAGACAATAAATAAAATTTGCCTTGTTCTTTTCGCGTTGTGCTAATTACATAGGTGCACACAATCATTCCTTTTATTTTTAGAAGGAGCTAAGCTCCACAAGGGAAATAATTCTTCATCGGATTATGAACTTAGTAGTGACATGTTGCAAAGACCAAAACGACCAAAAAAGCGAAACTAGACACTGGTCGGGGGTAGAATAAAGCGCGCCGTTTGTAATTTGTCACGATGGACTGGACCTCATGCTCATCTTATCATCTTCCACTGGTGCCCCGCCAGCGTAAACCGTTAGCGCAGGCGGTAGCACCATTTCATTATCATCAACAAAAAAAAAACAGACACTGGTCTGCTCTAATCACTATGATTCCTCTTATTAATTGTTTAACCAGCTGGTTATATATTCAATATGTTTTCTATTTGAGTATTTAATTGATTTAGTGCTAATTGGTGGTTTGTATTCACACACTTAAACTTAAAAATGTAAAGTAATAATAAAATTATTTAAAAGAGCAACACGCAAGTTTCTTGCTCGTTCTTCTTGTGATGAGACAGCTTTCCGAATGAGCGGTAGATTAAAAAAATGTAATGACTATTCAAAAGTGCTTCAATGTAAGTTTTTTTGAATAAATGATTTTCTATTCTATTAGAACGCAGAACTCTGACCGCTCTCTGTGTGCGTGGGCTCTTATAATATTATTATAGATAAACATGTTTGACTTTGATCGAATAAGATTTTAACTTGTTTATATATATATATACTCGTAATTATAAATAAAACATACATATGCATAAAACGAATAATTAATGCTATTTACGTAATTGAAATAACAAGAAATATATAAATAGATGCTACGTGGGCCGGTACCAAGGTGGTTGCATAGTGTAGAACAGAGGTTCTCAAACTTTTTTGTGCCGTAGACTCCTTGCCATATTTTTCGGTTTTCGGTAGACCCCGCTTTCCCTATACCTGGTATTGTTTTTTTTTTGTAAATTTCCAACTGTAGTAAAGTTTAGTGTTAAAAAAGTAAAAACAACAAGATGACCGATGTCGTAGACCCTTTGCAGTTTGTCATGGCCCCCTGGGGTCGATACAGACCACTTTGGGAATCACTGGTGTAGAACATCGTACGTGACTAGCGTTGCCAGACGTCCCGTATTTCCCGGGACGTCTCGTATTTTAGGCTTAGTTTAAAATGTCCCGGCGGGACTGACTCTGTCCCGTATTCGAATCGTGCTCCGTTTTTTATTATTAACCCGATGGATCTACGCTAGACAATTTGTCTTATGATAATTTATCACGGGTAAAAAACTAAATTCCCGTATTTTTTTGCTTATTTAAGCGTTTGCGCCTTATAGGGTGAAAAAAATGTGGCAACTCTATACGTGACTGATGTATGTATATCTGTCCCTTGTTTTTATATTGTACTATCTGACCTGCGCAACTTCGTCTGCGTTTCATTTCTCCACCTTTTGCAGTATTTTTCATTGCAGCTCCGCTCCTATTGGTCGTAGCGTAATGTTATATAGCTTAAAGCCTTCCTCGACAAATGGACTATCCAACACAAAAAGAATTTTTCAATTCGAACCAGTAGTTCCTGAGATTACCGCGTTCAAACAAACAAACTCTTCAGTTCTTCTACTGCATTATGTAGTGTTTTTGAAACAGTTGCTGTGGATAATAATATTATTATTATACTAGCTGCACCCGCGGTTTCATCCACAAATTTATAGCCTATATGTTATTTTGATGTATAAGCTGCATTACTGTAAAGTTTCATCAAAATCCGTTCAGTAGTTTTTGCAGGAAAGAGTAACAAACATCCCTCCATACTCGCAAAATTTTGCGTTTATAATATTAATAATAATAATAAGATAACGAGCTCGGTGGTCTAGTGGTTTAGCACGCTGCTATGGTAGCAGGTTCGATTCCTGGCACGGCACAAACATTTGTATTCATGAGTATGATTGTTTGTATCGGTCTCGGTGTGTTATATATATATATATATATATTATATATGTATTTACAAAATAAAAATATCTATCTATCTCTTTTTAAGAAAAAAATCTATATATTTATATCAATTGTCTAGTACCCATAACACAAATTGGGTCTAGATGTCGCTGTGTGAATTGTCCTGAGATTATTATTATTGTTCCTGTATTTTAGTGCCACGTTTGTTTTATTTCTTTGCTGATGGAATATATTGTTGTTATATTTCTAAATGTTTTTGTTTTATATTATTATTATTATTGTTCTATAATTTTCCATATAAAACACGTCACGTCTTCCGTGAAAATTGGTAAAACACCTTTTCAAATAAAATGCTTTCGACAAAATTTGTACAGGTGACCTCGTGTGAACAGTCATTTCAGTTTAAACATACGGACAGAAAACAATACATCTTGTTAGCTTTTGATTATTATTATACACTATTGTTTTATGTGTGTACATTAAAATTTTTGACTGTCAATTGGAAATATATTATTCTTCAATAAATTTATACTCCCGGAAACGGAAGTGTCAGTTGTCTGACTTAATTTATAGGTTAAAACAGATAACGGGTTTTTAATTAATAGAATAGAAATAATCTTTATTAAAATAAACTTAATATAAGCACTTTTGAATTGTCACTTTTTTTTTATTCTACCACTCATTCGGAATGCAAACTCATCACAAGAAGAATGAGCACGAAACTTATGTGTTGCTCTTTTAAATAAATATTGTTTTAATTAGATTTACACTAACAAGGTTTAGGCATGCGACAATCAACATAGAAACCGCTACGCACTTAATCTCTGTTCAATCAGATAACATTGTCAGCGCTATGAATTTTAAGTTAGATATTTTCTATAAAAACATTATCATCATTTATATAATACTAGGTACTCGCCCCGGCATCGCCCGGGTGTACATTGTATGTATTATACATATAAACCTTCCTCTTGAATCACTCTATCTATTCAAAAAAACCGCTTTAAAATCTGTTGTGTAGTTTTAAAGATTTAAGCATAAATAGGGACGGACAGACAGCGACAGCGACTTTGTTCTGTACTATGTAATGATGATGATAAGATTATATGAACGTCAATGCCCTAAAGATTTTTGTAGGAGAAATGTATTAAACATGTCTGTCTCTCTTTGTAATCATTTGCCTGACAATATAATGCTACGTTCTACTATGCTACTATTCTTCTACTATGCTACTTTCAGCCACTTCCCCTGCCACTCGCGTTGCCGGAAATATTACCAGGCGACAACTGAGCGAGAGGGCTGAATGTAAATACACGCTGCCACTCGCGTTGCCAGTCCTTTGACTCGAAGTAAAACCGACAATCGAGGGAGCGCCGGGCAGCGCGAGTGGCACCGCCAATGGCATGGGAACTGTTTCCACTCGTGTTTACACTCTCGCGCTGCTCACTTTCCTGCCCACTCGGGCTGAGTGTAAATTGACCATAGAATTGTGGAACGGCCGAGCTTTTAAAGTTGATTTAACGAAAGTGAAGGTGGCTCACCCCAAAAATATTATTTTTAATTTTTTTTTTTAATGTGGCAATAAAAAATATATACAACCCTAAATTTTCACCCTTCTATCACCAACCCCTATTTATTAATAGCGATATTAATTTATATGGCAATACAACGGTTACCGGTACAGCTAGTTTACATATAAAAAAAATAAATATAAATACAGAGTTTCTGTTTAAAGAATGTAGCAATTTCATAGATTATTTTAGCTATTTATATATTTTTTTTCTCTAGGTATAGACAACGCGACGTGCACCTTCGGCTCTATGGTATCGTTCAAAAAAGGCGGGAAACCGCGCGTCCTGAACATAAGATTGAATCTGCGGGTGCTGCTGGTGGACTCGCGAGTGTCGCGGGAGACCCGGTCGCTGGTGGTGCGGGTGGCTGCGCTCCGGCAGCGGAATATGGCTGCCGTAGACCATATCATGGAGGCGTGTGATCATTTGGCACATACTGCTACACAGGTTAGTGTTTTATTTTAAGTGCGCATGTGTTTTGACGGCCGATAGTAGCGGGTTCGATTTCTCGCACGGCACAAACATTTATTTCTTGTTTGTATCGGTCTGGGTGTTTTCTATGTATATTATGTATGTATTTAGGAAAAATCAAATTATATCTATGTATTTGTATCAGTCTTCCGGGCTGCGATGATGATGATGATTATGATTTGTATCAGTTATCTAGTACCCATATATAAACACAAGCTTTAGCCAACTTAACTTGGGTCTAGATGGCGCTGTGTGAATTGTCCTCTGTTGCGGGTAAATAATACGATAATATCTAAATAATTAAGTAATCTTTATTATAAATTAATATTTATAAAACATAATGATTTCGTTAGTATGCGTCCTTCTTGTTACATACATATATTTACTTAGTGTTATGTAGTTAATATATATTTAGATAGAGAGATTAATATATATTTTTTATTTGTATCTTTACACACATTTACATTTATTATAAAGTTCAATAAAGGGTAAACCTGCATGTGTGTGCTATTTACTTTACTTTACATTTATTTAAAAGAGTTACACACAAGTTACTTCTTCATTCTTCTTGTGATGATTCTGCGTTTCGAATGAGTGGTAGAATAAAATTATATAACTTAATAGTTGTATGTTTTGATTCTGGGAAGAAATGTTAATACAAAATCGGCGTTTATAAGCGGCTAAAAGGTCTTACATGAACAAATTATTTTGATCTCATTTGATTGAGTTTAAGTAGATAGTGCGTATATTGAGGTTAGATGTATAAAGATTATTTCTATTTCTATTATATTTTATTTTTCGTTGCAGGTTTTGGAAAAAATCTCCAGTGGCAAGTGTGAATCGGACACCGAGTCCGACTATCAACATTTAGCGGTGAGTGTAGGTTCGAAATAGTGCGCGTAAAAGTGCCCTAAAAAATCAAAAAAGGCTTGTATTTTGTTTCGACTTCCTATAATGCTGTTGGCCGCAGCTGGCTTACAGCTTCACTGAACGATAGGGGGCGAGTGCAGATAGCACTCCAAACCCACTGAAGGACTTACGGAGCGAATGAACGGATACGACTTTGGTCTGAGGGCATCGCTAGCCGTTCGAATCTCGGCTCAGGTTATCGTAATTTCGATCCCAGTCTAAATTGTACGGGGAATTGATCGGAGGCTGTTGAATCTGATCTACATCAAATGTACATTTCTGGCTTATTCTCCAGTGATGGTAACACCGATAACAAAGTAAAAAAACCTATACTGAAAGGTGATATAATATTCTCAATTTTATGTGGGCATTACGACACAAACAGTAAATCGAAATTGATTCCAAAAAAGGAGGTAGAGTTCTCTATTTGGTTGTGGTGGTTTTATTTCCTTGAGAATGCTTAATTTTTTTTTCCTTTTTTGTAATCAATTTATTTTTTTATTAAAAATTTAATTGCTAGTCGGCTAATGGTGAGGTTTTGCTACATGCGTTGTGATGTTGCGGCCAACGGCGTTAGAAGAATAATTGGGAAAAATTGTCGAAACCACAAAATTTCGCTCAAGTTCCGTATACCTTCTTCTCTGACGAAGAGCAGAAGCTACATTTGTTATGATGTTGTAGATTTTGTGGGAGATGAGTTTAAAAACATGTCATAACTGTAACATTTCGTTTAACTCCCTTATACCTATTTTCCTTTTCTCTGATGATGAGCGTGTACTACATGTGTTGTGATGCTGCAGGAGCTGTGGGAGATGAATCACTGCCTGCTGGCGGCGCTGGGCGTGTCGCACCCCGCGCTAGAGACGATACGCGCCGCAGCGAGGGAACGGGCACTCGCCTGCAAGCTCACCGGCGCGGGCGGAGGCGGGTACGTGGTTACATACATATAAATAAAATTGGAGTGTCTGTTTGTAATATTGAAATAACCGATTTTTACTACATGCATATGAATACGGTACATACACCAAAATAACATTTTTTACAATTTTCGTCTGTCTATCTGGAGTCTGTCTGTTTGTTCCGGCTATTCTCTGAAATGGCTGCACCGATTTTGACGGAACTTTTTTTGGCAGGTAGCTAATGTAATAAGGAGTAACTTAGGCAACTTTTATTTTAGAAAAAATCCTTTAAATTAGAAAAATAAAGTAAATTTCCACGCGGACGGAGTCGCGGGAACAACTAGTTTTAATTATAATCAGTAGAACTAATCTGTAAGCATCGCTTATGAATTTGAAAGCGGAATCATATCGGAATCGGAAAATATATACAGATTTTTTAGTACCCATAACACAAGTTGTAGCTAGCTTAATTTGCGTCTAGATGGCGCTGTGTGAATTGTCCTGAGATTATTATTATTATTGTTATGTTTTGAAGCGGCTAAAGGGATACGTCTGGATAACGGACATGACTTTGATCTTAAATTGTATTTATTTTGTTATTTACAGATACGCTATGGTACTCATCCCTCCTTCCACTCCTCGGTCGATCGTGGACTCCCTAGCTGGTCAGCTACTCGAACACGGCTTCAGAGTCACGGAGACTCGGCTGGGGGGTCCAGGGATCACGCTCGAGATGTGACCCTCGCGTGACCCCGACGCGACCCCCCCTCGTGACGCGGACAAATCTCCGGGAGACACTTCAATGACGAGTATAGTGCCAGTGGTTCTAAATGTGACCCCCAACGTGGCCCAACCTCGAGAGACCCCCGGGTTTAATCACAAACGCCGCCGTCTTAGCTAGCATCCGATGTGTATTTTAAAATTAACTCGAATTATGTGTGAATGAAACAATGTATGATATTTGAATGACACAGTGCTCGGTGTAATGACAATCATAGGAAAAGTTACCTAATTATAAATTAGGTATAATATAAACGGACGATGTTGCAATATGAACTTTATGTTAATATTATTTAAGTGTTTTTTTATTGTACATCATAATAACTATGATGATTTAGTATTGGATTATCAACGAATTTTATAAATCGTAATTGTTAGGTTATGGGCCCAGTGTAATTGTATTTATCTGTCTGTACGAATGGTTCGCTGTAACGTGAGGGATTAACCAATTCCAGATGTCATAGACAATAAACTCTGATGTACCAAAAAATCCAATGACAATAAAAAAAGGGGTACTGTGAAAAGAGTGCATACATCCAAATTGTAAAGAGGATATTACATTATCAATTATACCTGATGAAATTTATCCTGCTTTATAATACAGGATTATCATATTTTTTTATGTTTAACACTCTTTCTCGCTACTTTATTAAAATGCAATACAAAGTATATTATTACTCAATAAATATGATCAATTATTTTGATTTATGTATTGAATCAATTTAGTTGTTTGCAGAATACAGGTATATACAGTATTAAATATAATGTTCAGTATATTCAGCCTGTATACAGACGTGCAAATTTTTATATATTATTATATTTATGTCATTCTAATTATTCAATAAATAAATTGATATTTCATCGGAATTACTGACACATGTAATGTTATAGCATTGCCTAAATCAAATTAATTGATCACGTTTTACTCCCACATATTTGATAATGTAATAGTCACTTTAGTTTTAGTATGGCAAATGTATCTTAGAGTTAGAGAAGTCGGAAAGATAGTATAAAAAATATGTTAAAAAATTCATTATATTTTTCCAAAACTTGACATTTTTATATTCCATATTTGATAATAATACTCCCTTTAGTTTTAGTATGGCAAATGCATTTTGCAAACTGACATTGTAAGGGGCTAGAGAAGTCAGACAGATTGTTGGTAAAGAAATATGAATTTTTTTTTTCTAAAACTTGAAATTTTTACTTTAAATAGGGCTTTGGTAAAAACTACTAAAACTGAAGTGATTTTATGGCCCCTTACCTCACTATTGTATGTTAATTGAACACAAAAAGCATTGATAGAACATTCCAGAGTCTCGAACTTATTCATAATGTATCGCAACTTTTAAATCAACGTCTTCATTATTAGTTTCATAAGAAATGTACGGCTTTATTTAGTCATACATTTTTAAAATTAAACATTAAATAAAATGAATAGTTAATTTATAAATTTTCATAATTTAATGTGAATGTTTTGTTCGTACATTACATTATGAATTTATTAAAAAATATTATTTAAAATTAATTAATACTTAATTTATAAAATTGCCGAATATATCATTCGAATAGTTTGTTTATGTATTACGAAATAAATAAATAAAGGTAGTAATTTATTTAATTTTAATAATTCAAGAAAGGTATTTAAATCTCCCGGTAAATCAAAAGTACCATAAACAATAATGTTTAGAAATAAAATAGTGAAATACCACGGGTATGTGTAATATAATGAGCAAAGACTTACATGGCAGCTGTCCTATCATATATCTGTACAGAAATGGTCAAATTATATTATATTTGAACCTGTTTTTGATGTATTAAGCCACGTCACACATTATTCGGTTCATCATACGATAGTCCTACACGATTGGCGCATTTAATATCTACGCCCCGCCCACTTGGAAATGCACCAATCAGAAATTGAGTCGCTTTAAGGCATAATGGCCGACCGAGTGTATGTGACCAGACTAACGGCAAATAATAAAAGGGAAATTAGGTGTTTTGTGTGTAAAATAATTTAAATATTACATTCAATGTTTTTTAAGGTTATTATTTGTCTCATTTTACTATATATATATTCAACTCGGCTTTACACGGGTGTACAAGATATCTGTTTAAAAGGTACATTATTCTACAGTGACACAGACTATATATTATGTTAATATATGCAAAACTCACAAAGTTATGATCACCCGGGTGAAGCCGGGGGACCACTAGTGCTACAATAATTACTGTAACATGTTTTAACTTGTGACACTACTTAAGCGGGGAATCTACTGTTCATATAAATTGTATTATATATTAATTTTATTGTAATATATAAATTGAAAATATGTATTGTAGATCAAGGCTTCCATTCAAATTCATAGAGTTATTTAAACCACCTAAATTATATATGTAAATAATAAATGAAATTGTACACATTATGTAGAATATTATTTATGAGCTCCTGATATTTCGATGCTGTTACAAATCTGTCTCATCGAGAAACTAATTCGGATACAATGACATCAGATTATGTCGATTTGTAACCGACACCACGTTTTGGATAAACACCACGTTTATACTTATAAATATGCTATAAAAACTATCGAATTGTTATTTATAAGTACATATATATTTTAGAAAAAAAATCTTAATTCAAATAAACTGACATTCAAGCACTTTTGAATATTAATCACTTGTCCTTTTTTAATCTACCGCTCACTCGGAAAGTCTATCACAAGAAGAATGAGCAAGAAACTTGCGTGTTGAAGTAATTTTATGAATTGAGCGTCCGACGCGAATAACGTAAATACGTTTTCGATATCGAATCGATTAATCAATGTAAAATATGTTATGAAATTATTTCTAACGTGAGTGCAATATATTAACCGTACATACAGTATATTTTTATACTCTTGAATACACTAGCAACTTATTAATTCTATATTTATTGGTCAAAAGGACTTATTCGATTTATTTTTGGTTGAGTTTCAAAAGACAGTACAAAATTGATTAGTATGAAATCCAGATTGAGATTTGGCAGTCAATAAATACGATGAGTATAAATAATTACACGAATAATAAATACCACTATTAGGTGCAGACAAATTTAATAATATTATCTACTTAAAAAGTTAAATATCGAGTTGTAACGCCACCTGTAAGCGCGTCAAAACCTTCCCGTCAAGATCCTTCAACGCGCATGCGTCATGCAGACCAATCACAAACCGCAACGCGTCGCCCGCGCTTATAAGCGTACGAATAATGGCGACTGACGATTTACTGACGTTTATACTGTTTTAATGGCGACCGATTTTCAAACGAGTCCGATGTTTTCTTGTATTTGTCATCATTAAAGTTATTGTTATCGAAACACACGAGTTTAACTCTGAAGCTATCCGAATTAAACATTTTATATAATGTGTACAATTATAAAAAACAGTTGAGCATTAAAATAAATGTAAATTTTTACTGCTTCGCCTATTGCAAACCCATATGTTTATTGTTGATTATTATAAAAATACGAATTTACAGACAATACATTAATTTAAGGCATCCTAATATATATGTACGTAACTATTTTTATAATCTATAAATCCCTTTTTTTGCTCGGTTTTCCCGTCATAGGAAAAAGCAAAAGAACTCAGACATACTGAATAAAAACGCGATAAGTGTAAAGTTTAATTTTTTTGCAAGCTTAATTCCTAATTCGTCGTGAATAACTTTTCCATTCGAACTATAAAAAAAAACAATATTTTATTTAACTGCAGTACATTATTTTTATTTTAAAAGTATATAGAATTCTGAAACTAATAGTGCAATTAAAAAAAATCTTTGGTCCAGTATTCGACTGTATTATTATTATATAAATGTGTTTGTATAAGTTAATCGTTTATATATGGTTGTAGTTTTGTATTGTTATGTATATTTTTAATATTTAATGTACCATCTTTATATTATATTGCATTATATTGTCGAATAGTTGCATTATATTATCTAGAGTTGTGTCATTAGAAAAAGGTTAAAGATTTTTTGTATGAACTTGTTTAACTAATATTTTTTCCCACACGACACATTTACTAGCAATTTATTGCATGCCCTCATTTTGAAAGATTTGTCTGGACATGCAAACCTGCATCAATTAAAACAATTTTGGAATCAAAATATGCAATTTTTATTTTTTAGAAGTATATGTTGTTACTTCGATTCTACTTTTTGATTAAATTCGCATAAGGTCTGTGCCAACTTTCATAAAACGTAGTTATTGTTAATTGCTCTGTGTTCTTATCGACTTTACGTACCCACCTCTTGTTCAGATATAATTAGTTTTAATACAAACTAAGGTATTATATATAATTTTATTAACTACTGTCTTATAAATATATAATTAAACGGCTTCAGGACTATAGAATCTAAATTAAAATTTGATACAATAAATTGTATAATGTTGTTGGATCTATATATAGTATATACCGAACTGGACGGTAGGGAAAAAAATAATAATGTAAAAACTTGACGTTCATAAGCGGCTAAAATGTCCTACATGAATAAATGATTTATGAATTTGAATTTGAATTTATTATCAAATGTATTAAAATAAATTCCATTATATAATGTTGAATTCCATTAAATATATAATCATGAAATCAAGTTACAGCAAAAGTACTAAATGTAGTCAATATATTTTTTTTATAACGACCTGTTAAGACTGTATTCTTGAAAACTTCAAATAATCATCGGTTGACCGCCGATTGTTTCAAAAATGCACTGCTTAGAGATCGACCTAATACTATTATATACACTGTTATATATACTCTATTATTAAAAATATACGTTAAAGGAACAACTCACGATAAATGTCCTGTTATATATTGTGTTGTACACAAATGTGGAAAAGGTTTAAAACAATATGTGTTAGTTTTGTCAGTTAAATATATGTAATGTCAGTATTGGTGACGTCACGCTTCAAACAAAATCTATTGGTGCTAACTTTAATATTGCTACAGAAATATAGACAGTCGTTTAATAAATTTATTTAAATTGTTAACATCTTTCATTTCATCGCGTTCCAATAACTTGTAGTATGTGTGGGAAAGAGAAGGCAGCATTATGTCGTCTCTAGCACACACTGCTGGCGTCATGAGGGCTTTAAGCTGTGAAAGATGAGTGAGAACAGTGGTGTTTGTCTGAATAATTAGGAATGCAAATTGTAAATACAACATAACACTCAAGGATGTATCCATTTGATTACTTAATGGATTTATATTATAAGTATAATTAGTAAATCACGGGATCTTACCACGTTTTATTTTTGTTGAGTTCCCGATATTAATGAACGAAAGCATTAATGAACACATAAAAGCTGTTAAAAACAACGATCCGCGATTATTTGTTAGGATCGGGACCCAATCACTGGATTGAACTACACCGACCGAAGGTATTGGCATCAGAACAACATTACATCCCAAGAATGGTTAGAGTGGCGACTGAAATACAGAAATATAAAAATTTCAACCGGGAAGATGGCTATAGACTCTTTAAGGCTTGGAATCCAGTGATTGGTTTAATTAAACAAAAACATAAAACGCGATCACAAAGTATTAAGACGTAAAGATACTGTGAGTATAGTTTGCCGAGATAAATATCGAGCGAGTTCCAATAGTAGCAACAAACGAAGACGTGTAAAGGTAGACGAATGTCTGCCCATAAAAGATTTATTTACCTTCTACCCGCTGCTCTTCAGTTTACCCATGATAATGGCCGTTGAAACATTGCCGAAATATCGGAAACTCAACATAGAAACTCAAAAAATGACATATGCTGGTGGTAACTCTATTCTTCCAAATTTGAATTTAAATATTAATCTGCGTTATTGTAATCATGTACAACATTTATTTGAAAATAATACGAGCTGAGTATCTTGTCAATTCTTCTCATCTCGAAATCATTCCGAACTGACGATAGATTTGACATATCATAAGAGTCTATAATAGACCTACATGAATAAAGAATTGAATTTGAATTGCATAGAGTTTCGTTTGCGAGAGTTTCCTGTGATTCTGACTATTCCTTCTGGGATAAAAGTTGTAAAGGTTAATTATCATTAAAAAAAAACATTACCTAAAAGTGCATTTATTGACAATAAACTATCAACACAATAATATCTTTATAAATTGCGTATCAACAATGTGACATGTCCCAAATAAATTATTATCGTTTAAAGCATTTACAATACATTCAAATTATATTAATACTGTTATATTTATAACAAATAATAAAACTAAACATTCAATTACATCTCACTTTACTTAAAACTATTCTATATCTCATTGATTTAAAAAATTGGGTAATATCATTAGTTCTTTAAGGACATATTAAAAACAAAACATTTGTCATAATATAATAAAATCTTTTACATCTTGCCAGAATAAAAAAAATATAAACAGATAATATTAATAATAAATCCGACCGAAATTTCGATTACAGTTTTAATGCAAAATTTGAATCACGTTTCGATGAGATAAATAACCGAAACTCGAGACTGAACGGTGAAAAAGTTTCGGTCGCGATCGTAACAAAGCCGTATCAATTTCGATTCCGTAATCTAGTTTCGGACGGAAATTAAAAAAAAATAGTGTTTTGTAAATCTTTATAGTAAAATTCTGGCACCTAAACTACAACTACAAACATTTATAGTGGTCATAAAATTAATATCAATCTTTATATGTATAGTTACATAGACAACATTATGTATTTTTTTATTTGGTTCAGTGAATTATACCTATAATATGTAGAGTGTAAACTTGAATCCAAAGTATAGGGAGCAACATTATACTCCGTGCGCTGTAGAATGGTGCTGGTGACAGTTACTAATTTTACATTTAACAATTGCTACATTTAAGTTAATTCAGTTATTAATGATTTAATATATTACGAATGTGGTACAGCTGAAACATTAATTTGTAAATCGCGGCAATTTTTAAGAATGAAACGAAACGTTAATGAAACTGTCTTTCGCACAATGCTATATCGCAATAGTGGCATAGTTGAATAATTTTCAAATATATTTTTGATCTGTTGTGATCACACGTCTAATGACTTTAAACAATGATATACTATCAGTATTGTTCATAGCTATTGGCGAAATGTCTGCGACTTTAAAGCTAAACTTTACTTTTTTTGTTTTAAAATATCTCTTTAAATTCCATTACGGAACAAGTATTAGTAGTATTCAGTCTAATATAGGTATAGACAATGAACACCAATGGTTATAAAGTTTACACTCTGCATATAAAAAGATGTATTACCAAAGACTAAAACAATTTCAACATAAATACTTTTTTATCTTGACAGACTGTACATGAATGGCAGACAGATTGTAAACATGGAAGACTAGACGACAAACATAATTATTTCTGTCCATTATGCTTGTATATTGCATATTGATTCAAGTAACAGCAAGTATTTATTAAAAAAAAAAGATCTCCATAGAGAAGCCGTATGATTTACTTTTTAACGTTATTAAACATAGTGATTTTCTACCCAACAAAGTAGTGTTGTAAAGGTAGAACATTCAGTAATATTTCTATTTAGCTATTTAATAAATTCATAAATAATGTTATATATCTTTCTATAGATTTATACAATATTTTTACTATGATTTCATACAAAATAAAAATAATAATTATAATTACAAGGATATATCGTGCAATAATAATATGCAGTTACATATTTCCACTGAAATTAAATATAATATCAACATATTAAAATGTACATTAATATAATTCGTAAATAATGCATACACTCATTACAATATTACAAGATATTTGTATATTTGAATTAAACTACGAAACAAAATTACTTAAATTAAAATACTATATTATACTTTTAAAAGTTGGAAATACAAAAATTTGACATCAATTATAAATATTTTTATATAGTGGTTAATAAAATCACTTTTAGGTAAAAACACATGTATATTATTAAATTTTTCGAGTCTCATTTTGTTATACTAATAATAATAATCGAGAGCTTTGTGGTATACAGTTTAGTACCCCTACATGCAGACTACAAAGGTCGTGAGTTCGAATTTGCCAAAATAAAAAATGTAGCAGTACATGTACTTGTCTTTCCTATTTATTGTATATACTGGATTACACGTAGAGAAGAAGCCTAAAAGCAACAATAACGTTCATGAAACTAAATCATTCACCCCTTTACTATCCGATGGTCGTGGGTTCAATTGCTCGCACGGTACAAACATTTGTATTCATGAGTATGATTGTTTGTATCGGTCTGGGTGTTTTCTATGTATAATATATTATGTATTTATTTACAAAAAAAATGTATCCATATATTTATATCAGTTGTCTAGTACCCCTAACACAAGCTCTGCTTAGCTTGGGTCTAAATGGCGCTGTGTGAATTGTCCTGAGATATTATTATTCTCACTAAGAAACTTCTAGAAATCTGACCGAGCAGTACAGTTTTTTTTTCTTTACTACTTTGAGTCTTTAGGAAAATAGTTTAGTTTCATGAACATCTTTACTGGATGGGTTTATTATTAATCTTATATATTAACTAAAATCGTTTATTAATCGCCATTCTAACATATGTAAGTGTATATATATTTTATTATTACAGCGTTAACAAAACAAAATAGCACGACGTGTAACCTATAATTTAAATTATAACCTATAATTTTATTTCATATATTCGTCTAATAAAATCGTAACAAAAACTGCTATTTGTATTTTAGACTAGGTATACTGTTTTATAGATAATATTTTAAGTACTTTCATTAATTATTTCGATACAACTGATTATTAATAATATCCGACGGAAATTTGGTTTAGGATTCGGCCAGTTTCATTACCGACCGAAACTGGCATGGAAACTTAAATTCGATTTTGTAAAACTTAGTTTTAGTCGAACTCTACTAAACAATTTCTATTTTTATTTATTATATTTTACGGCTTTAAATGCAAGTCCTTTTGAGCCCAATTTAACAGTTGTTGTCAGTTATTGTACCATTTTTTTGCTAAACTACTAACAAATTCCCAATTACTCTTAGAATTAATAAACCTATTTAATAATTTTGTATACAAATATAGCTACTTTCAAGCTCTGTGTGCTATCTACAATTAATATTATAATTCTCTTTACATTGTGTCGATTTAAATGTATTATCTAACATTAATTAGCTATTAATTATATAAAAAGCACTTTTATATAGCTGTCTTTGTAGCTTTTGTTATAAGATTAATTAGGTATGTTATTGTTTGCGCCAGAAACCGTTAAATGCACATCTCGTGTAATAGAGAAGGACAGCAATACTTCACGATTTAGGGCCGAAAGAAGCCGAGTACACCCGCCCTTGTGTTGGAAAAAGGATGGCTATATGTTATCTGTGCATTTCCGCTCGTGTCTGAGCACAATAATTTAAATCACTCGGGACCCGCTTTAACAGTTATAATAATCCCATTTTACAGAGGCGTGAGTAAATCTGCACTAAGAATAGTGCCTAACTATGCTGCTTGTATCGATTAATATAAACTAATATTAAATAAACCACTTTGGTAAAATAATACAACCAAAATAATCTCAATATAGTCTAAAGCGTAACAAATTATCTACCTGTACAGCGAACAAAATTCGAAGGCAAAAACGAGTCTAGTTATATTAAAACATTGGTCATTCATGATTCCATTATCACAGATGTTGATTCCACTCAAAATACTTTATTATATAATTTATACATCCATGCACCACACAAAACCTTAAAAAAAGATTCCTTTGCTCGATACTTATCTACTTCTAACTTTTAAAAATATATTTTTTTTCAGAAATGATTAGAGATATGCGCGCCAGCATTCTAAAATTATTTTTTTTTAACTTTCGTATAAACAATGCTCGTATATAAGATATTTTTTTATTTAAATCAATAGACAAATGGTCATTATTAGGATTTAGCTATTATCTATTTACTACAACACTAATACAGTCGTCTATATAATCAAAATATATTATTTATTTTTTTACGATAAAGCTGCACTATAAATTGTCTATGACCAGAACTATTGGATTTGAAGTCTCGTATTATTTCTGAAGCAACTGCACCGATCAATTATCACGTTTAACCGCTAGATGGCGTTGTAACTTAATTTGGTATACCTCACAGTACACGTCGATTCCTGTGGAGATAATTGCACCATTCAAGCCTGGAATGATCCGAAAAACCATCGGAATATACTCCATCATAAAGTCTTAACCGCGTCCCAGATGAAAGCGAGCCGGTCGAACAGCGCGCCCAGGATTATGTTCTACAATTGGTAGCCGGTCTGCAGTTGGTTATTGGACTCCGTTTCTGGCTGATGTATGAGGGGGGGAGACAGTGGATCCTCGCTGGATGTCAGAGTAGTCGACGGAGGTAGACCTGGATGATATAATAATAATAATAATCTTTATTCAAATAAACTTAAGGTTAGGTTAGCTATATATATAGATAGATAGATAGATAGATAGATATAAATGCTTGCTTTTATAAAAAAAGGTTACCAACATCTTTAAATAGCTACTCGCCCCGGCTTCGCACGGGTGTACATGTATTATACATATAAACATTCCTCTAGAATCACTCTATTTATTAAAAATCCGCTTCAAAATCCGTTGCGTACATTTAAAAATTTAAGCATACATAGAGACAGCCTTCAGACAGCCTCGGTGGTCTAGTGGTTTAGCACACCGCTTTATTATCCGATGGTCGTGGGTTCGATTTCTCGCACGGTACAAACATTTGTATTCATGAGTATGATTGTTAGTATCGGTCTGGGTGTTTTCTATGTATAATATGTATTTATTTACAAAAAAAAATGTATCCATGTATTTATCAGGTGGCTCCAGTTCAGTCAAACACGTTATAGTTAACTCCGTAGTTTTTACCTCGTTGAACTGGAGCCTGTTTTAAGTTAAGGTTTTTGTAATTAAGGATTTCTGATTCCTGCGACACAAGCCCTTAGTGCAGGGATTACTGTTAATTGTCTTGTCTACAACCATCGATGTAATGTGTACAAAATAAATAAATAAATAAATTTATATTAGTTGTATAACACAAGCTCTGCTTAGCTTGGGACTAGATGGCGCTGTGTGAATTATCCTGAGATATTATTATTATTATTATTATAGGGACGGACAAACAGCGACTTAGTTTTATACTATGTAGTGATATTGCTATGCCTTTTTTATTTATCTAGTCCGATCAAAGGTTATCTGGAAGAGATTGCTTATGATTACTTACTTCTATTTATGCTCTTTATAATTTACCTCTGGTGCAAAGAATAAATAAATATACAATGCTTCCAATATCATATATAAACTACCTTCATTTTCATCCTCCTCCGCGAGCCACTTCTGTATATCAGATTGGTACATTCTCCTCTGCAGCACTTCTTTCGTGCGTGGTCGAGACCCTATGAATGTTACCTCCACCTATAAACAACCAAGTTTATTTAATAATAATAACTGTTTGACCAGTGGAGGTAAATCGGGGTTAGGCGGGGCAGTGCCCGGGGTCCCTCAAGCTCAGGGCCCTCGAACCCTTACCAGAAAATGTCGGTCTAACTGAACTTTTGAAAATTTCTCCAATTTTCAAAATAAATATGACAGGTTGCAACTCGACTTTAATCATGGCAACTCAGTTGAGAGAAAATCGAATGTTATACCTTCGGAATTCCCCTAAATTCTATCTGTGGGTTGGCAGTGTTGTCAATTTGACAAATAGCAATATGTGAGTTTTAATAAAACTGTAATGTAGGGCCCCACTGCTCAGCATTGTTTGATTTGCCCCAGGGCCCTTGGTACTGTTTTAAACGATCAATTTGTTTGCTTTTTTTGTAAGCACACCATGTTGTTGTATTTTGTATTGCAGCTTAGATTAAATTAAAAATGTAATGTAACTGATAATATCACTGATGTTCACATATTGTGATGTAGCGTCGACAGGCCCAATAGAACAGAAAGGAAAACTTGGTGTGGTAGAGCTATAAAGATACCAACTAGATAGATAGATAAAAATCTTTATTCTAATTCTAACTAAGTAATAAAATAAAATAAAAAAAAGTTAACTAGGTATAATTTTTGATTATGATAAACTGTAAAATATTTTTGTGTTAGGTAGGTGCTTGGAACACACAATTTTTGTTTTCTCTTTATTTATTTAGGAGCTTAGCACAATAGTGAACATGTTAGCTCCGTGTTGTCTTCTTAATAACATAACATCTAAACTTTAAATTACTATAAAAACAAATCTTACCTAATTTTATCTACAAATTTATAAATTAATACCGATTGTTTTGATGCAGGTTCTGATAAAATACTCTGAAATATTCCTAAATTAATTTTGTTTAGAACACAAAATTTAAAACATTTTTTTATTCTCTTTATGATATTATGTATACTGTGTAACATATTCTTTGGGTGTAGAAGATGTTGCAAGTTGACAGTTAGTAGCAGCCCACATATTTTTATATACACTACCACACTCCCCTTAACAACTTCTAGAATAAATTTGATGTGTTGAAACAATTGTAAAGATTCAATGGTAAGTATGCTGGATTTGTGCTCACCCCAGGCGGGAGATTGGGTCGTAACTCTTCAGCTAGGTCCCCGCTGGCACCTAGCCGCTGTGCCTCTTCCCAACTGGTATGTACTTCTTCATGGAGCAGCTTCTCCTCTGTGGAGATTATCAGTAAATACATTATTCAATACGATTTCTTTTCGGACTACTCTAATGCTGTTGGCCGCAGCTGACCTTTACATCTACACCGGACGATAGTGGGCGAGTGCAGATGGCACTCCAAACCCGCGGAAGGACTTCCGGACCGGCTAAAGACCAACTCCTGCCTGACAGACACGATTTTAGTCTAAGGGTACCGCTAGGGATTCGAACCCCGACAGACCGTCGTAAATCCAACCATCACATTTAAAAATAAGTATTCCTATTGCAAAGTAACAGTAACATGTAACGTGCAACTGTGATCAAAGCGAGAATAATATATATTTTGCTGCTATAATCAGTGGATTATAGCAGCAAATATAATTTATTCTCTATCTAATTAGAACTGATGGAGATATTCAGTGTGAATATCTCCATCAGTTCTTACACATGCTAATGGTACCGGAATTAAACAAAATAATATAAGTCCATTTAATAATAAAATCCTGCAAAATAGCACCTAAATCCATATAATATAACATTTATCTGCAAAAATGGGATGGTAGAATCCAAAAATAACTTCATACAAAGTCTACTGCGAAAGTAAATGCTTTTGACTGTGATTGTACGCTCACCATCTCTTTTGGTGGTGCTCCGCTTGTACTGTATCCTAAACCTGAACGCCTCCAGCACGCTGGCCACCACTATGGTCAGTACCACCATCGTGAACAGATAGAATACCTGCAAACGTCAAACGGTCAATATCATTAATAGATGAACATACATAAATATTTTTTTTTGGCCTACTCTGATGCTGTTGGCCGCAGCTGGCTCGCACCTTTATAGCTTCACCGGACGATAGAAGGCGAGTGCAGATGGCACTCCAAATCTCTCAGGGCGCGTTATTTAAAAACTAACTCAAGCTAGGGACATAACTTTATAAATAATACATTCAACCTAAACTTAACCTAACTTCATAGCGCTGACATTGTTATCTGATTGAACAGAAGTTTAACATTCATTTAAAAGAGCAACACACAACTTTCCTGCTCAATCTTGTTGTGATGAGTTCTGCGTTCCGAATGAGTGGTAGAATAAAAAAATATGACTATTCAGAAGTGCTTAAATTAAGTTCATTTGATTAAAGATTATTTCTATTTCTACTTAATAAGTAGTGCTATGCTTGGGGACTAATTTTATTGTAGTTTTTTATAGAATTTTAAGTTTTTTAGTCTTATTTACTTATTTATATACACACTACCATTACAGGTATATGTCCAATAAAATAGTGCGTCCAATATTACAACACCACTTATTTTATTTTGTTTTTTATTGTTCTCGTGTGTGACTCCAGTCAGCTCGTGACCACGGCTAGTGCCACCTAGTCGAAACGTCGAGAGAGGTAAATACCTTTATTTGCCATAAAATTATTCGTGTTAAGACCCGGTTAATAATTTCAATAACTATTTTTGAATTTGATTTAAAAAAATACTAAAAAAAATAACATTTTTTTTAAATAAAAATAAACAGATGTGTGTGTTTGACAGATAGGCGTAAATATAACACTTACCATAAAGTAAACTCTACTAAATTGACCGGCAACAGTGGCGTATGCATTCATCAATATGAACCAATTATTGACGACGGTCAGTTCAAACAGTGTCACACCGCTGGTGATGATGTTCTCGAAGTTGTTCAAGTAGTAATAACCGAGAGCTGTGGAGCTGTTCAGTGAGAACTTATAAAAGTCCTCCACGGTCGTGTTACTGTGGAACAATAATAATTACATTATATAATTATTTGGGCGTCAAATGTCATACATTCTGAAAACGTTTTTTTTTTAACTATTCTAAAGCTGTTGAGGCGCATCCCGTATTTCGATGCGTCTTCCCCATGGTGGGTAGAGGCGGGGGGATTGGGAAAAGTTCCCCCCACGCGTTGAAGAGGGCCCGATTGCAGGCAACCGCCGCTGGGGTCGCGGTTGATTGCGAACTCGTTCCCGTGACCCCGGCACTATGGCGGCGAGGAGGAACATCGTGGGGTTTTTGGTGAGTAGGAATCTCCCAGTACCCATCCGTCCAACCCCTGAGACGAACAGCTTTCCATGAGTGATTTTCAACACGTAAAGAAGGGGGTAATTGGAGGCGTGTCTAAATCTGATACTTACACACAGCAATTCCTCAAGTCGTAAGAAGCGAAGAGTTCCATGCCCACGATGGCGAAGAAATAATACATGACCAGCATCACGCAGCCAGCGGACGACATCAGCGGCGACAGCAGCACCAACGTACCGAACACGTCGCGGTAACGCTTCTTTAGTTTGTACAAACGCATTAATCTGCAGACAAAAATTCATATTGGTTGGAAGCTACAGGCTACAAAGGCACAAGTTCTAGAATGGCAACATTAATTGTGTTTTTTTTAACCACGTAGGTGGCAAACAAGCAGACGTCCCATCTAATTGTAAACGGTTATCGTAGCCTATGGACACCTGAAACACCAGTGGGATCATTGCGCTTTGCCAACCCTTAAGAAACCTTAATATACCCTTCTTGAAAAACCCCATGCTGTAGTCTTTCAAGAAAACCTCGGCAGGTAGTTTATTTCACAATCTAAGTGTACGCGGGAGGAAGCTCTTTTGAAAACGCACTGTCCGAGATCACTTAGGTTCTTCTAGCATGTGGGGATGAATTCCCTGTCGATGGCGAGCGGTGCAATGATAAAAGGTGCATATTGGGGAGGGTTGTGACTTTCCATCAGGAAGACCGTCAGCTTATTTGCAACCTCGATTGTCGTGGTTGTCTTATTAAAATTTAGAAATAAAAACTTGAAGAGTAATCCTCCTGTAATAATAATGGCGTAAGGTAGAAGGGAACAGTCTAAAGAAAGTGTTAGTTTTATACGAATGTGTATAAGTCTGTCGTGATATGGGCATGTAATGTTGGCGAAATAGGAATAGTTTAAAGAAAGTGTTATATATGAATGTGAATAAGGGCAGAAGAAGACCAAAAAAGAGATGGATGGACTGTGTGAAAGATGATATAGCAAGAAAGGGAGTAAATAACAAGATCACTGCGAACAGGGATGAATGGAAGAGAAAAACATATTACGCCGACCACAAATGAGTGATATAAGGAAGAAGCAGATGTCAATCTGATATTGATATCAAATAAGATTGGATTGCAAGATCTATAGATGATGAGGCGTGTGAAGAGAATGAAGGGTATATTTTAAAGAAAGTGTTATATATGAATATCGATGGTTTAAGGGCAGAGGAAGTCTGAAAAAGAAAGCGATGGACTGTTTGAAAGACGATATATAAAGAAAGGGAGTGAATAACGAGATGAATTGTAGAGAAAAACTTATTACGCTGCCATCAAATCATATGTCATGAGGAAATGCAGATGATTCATGCAGGGTAAAATATATATTGTCAGCATGGCAGCGAACCTCCCTACGGGTCCACCCATTCCATCCCTACTACCCAATAATACACACACACACGACACCGTCCTCGCCGGGGAAGATGCCCTCAACCACACCCTACAGCGTAACCAACCGGGCGCCTGTGCACCCGGGTGCTCCACATCGACGTCCCTGATCGCCCTTTCGATCGATCCCTCGAACTGCCTTAATCCGCTCCATAAGTCCTTGTAAAATATGTTTTGTTCATAATTACCTTAACGGTCTAAATATGACTACAATAAAGAGTTTAGGAGCTATGCTCAGCAGCACAGCGCCCATCAGAGCCAGGAGTGTGACGCTCAGATCGAACACGTTCCAGCCACTCTCCAGATAAGCACCAAGTCCCATGGCCATTATACGGAGGCCCGCCTCCAGCAGGAATACTACGCAAACAAGATGATATTTTTAATATATATACTAACAAGGGGATGGCACGGTGTGGGAAATTCACTTTGGGACGAGACTCCGTGTAGTAGTAGTTCCCCATAAGGGTATGCAAACCCTAAAGTATTGTTTCAGAATGACCAGTAGTTTCGAAGAAATATGTCTTTGAAATTCCACGTGTAACTTATGGGAAACTACTACTACACGGAATCTCGTCCCGAAGTGAATTTCCCACACCGTGCCCTCCCCTTATAAGAGAAACTTATTATACATTTAGTAATGACATGTTGTAATCTAAATAATGTATATTAAATATTATGGGTGTAAAACGGTAATTGTTACAGCTTATGCTGTAAATAATATAAATGACGTAGTGGAGTAACTTGAAACAGTCATACTCGCTATAAAGTTCAAACTTGTGGCGGCGTGGGCCGGGTCAATGTGCTCTCTCTAATAAATAGACTATTTGCTTTGGCAATATATTGCAGAAGTCACTCTATTCTTCCAAATTTGAATTTAAAAATAAATCTGTATTAATGTAAACATGTACAACATTTATTTGAAAAGAATACTAGCTGAGCTTCTTGTCAGTTTTTCTCATCTCGAAATCATTCCGAATTGTCTGTAATAGACCTACATGAATAAAGATATTTTTAATTTGAACATGAATGAATCTTAACTCACGTGTAAGGAACAGCCATGTATCCCATGATGCACATAATAGTCTAGCGCTGTCTTGCAGATCTCCAGCTGCTTCACAAACCCGGAGCACCATAGATATTCCATTTCCTACGATTAGTGCATCTGAAACGTAAGGATAAATTTCTTTTAGAAGAGTGGTCATGGTGTATTGGTTAAATATTCCGAGTTACACTTAAAATGTTATGAATTCAAATCTATTTAACATATAACAGCTTTTAGCTTTAATGTATATTAACGTTTAGTAATATAATAACAATTATAATAATTCAAGAAAGAAAATAATATTTTACTAAATAATACATTCAAATGAATGCGATGAATTAAGTTGGAAACACACTACTAAAACGCGACGCGTGCTGATCATACATTTATTTATACTACAAGCTGATTAAATGATAATGTCATTTTAAAAAAGTAAATTACGCCAGATTTTTCCAAAATAAAAAGAAAAGACCCCCGCCCCCTTAGTGCCGTGACAACATTAAATGTAGTCGCAAGATATCCTACACATAAGGTCAGATTGTCATTTGGCCACATTTCTGAACATTGCCGTGTCAGTCAACATTCAATGTAGATGTAAGATATCCATCAGATTGTCACTTTGGCTACATTTCTGAAATGCATGATGATCATAATTTTTTTGCGTTAACTATTATGTAATTAAATGAAATTGTCATTTTGGCCAGATTTCTTAAAATTGCCGTGGCAACATTAAGTGTAGATGCAAGATATCCAACATAGAAGGTCAGACTGTCATTTTGGCCACATTTTTGAAAATTGCCGTATCAGTCAACATTAAACGTAGATTGGATATCTTATTCAACATATAAGGTCAGATTGACATTTTGACCACATTACTGAAAATTGCCGTGTCAGTCAACGTGTTGAAGTAGAAGGTGGATCATACATATAAGGTATTCGAAGTACGGCCACCGTACTGCAGCCGCGGCGGCCCTCCCGACCGGCTCCAGCGGAGACGACGCGTACCACGGCGCCCGCGCCTGCTGCGGACACCAGCGCAACGCGAACACTTCATACAGATTAGCGAATTCTGAACTCGACAGGCTACCGGTCTCAGAGTGGTTCAACTGCTTGAACATCAGATACACGTCTAAACCACCTGAAACGGAAGATGTCGATTGTTTTATGTAGCGAGGAGAAATAGAAATCTTTATTCAAATTAATGCTTACTAATATTATAAAAGCGAAAGTAACTCTGTCTGTCTGTCTGTTTCGCTTTCACGCCTAATCCATTGAAACGATTTAAATGAAATTTGGTACACAGATAGTCTAGACCCTGACAAAGGACATAGGCTACTTTTTAATGTGAAAAAAGGGTTGCAAGCGGTTGAAAGGGAATATGAAAGATTCTATGGAAGTATCGTCATTTTACGCGGACGAAGTCGCGGTCGCAGCTTGTTTAATACAAACACAAATGTGTTTCTATTAAGTTTATTTGAAAAAAGTGTGTATTAATACAGTCCGTTAACCTCGTGAGGCCCAAAAGGGTGGGGGATGATGTATTAAGATATCACATATTTAAAAATAAAACGCAGTAGTCTTACATGACCATGTATCACCAAGGGGTAGTGAGGAGAAAGAGGGGTAGTCTTAAACCTCAGCACGTATCACCAAGACAGAAGGAGGGCTAGGAACGCTAAAAAAATCACGTGATTATTGGATTATTCGACCCCTTAGACAATGTTTGCCTCCTCTTATCGTTCCCCCAACACGGCAGCGAACCTCCTTACGAGTCCACGCGTTCCATTCCTACAACGCTATACACATACACACGACACCGTCCTCGCCGGCGAAGACGATGAACTCAACCACACCGTATAGCGTAATCAACCGGGCACCTGCGCCCGGGGCGCTCCACATCGGCGTCCTGTATCGCCCCTCCAACCTATTCCTCGAACGGCCTTAAGAAGCTCTATAAGTCCTTGTGTTTAGAGTGCCATCTACACCTCGTTCGGTGAAGCTGTAAATCTCCGGCCAATAGCATTGGAGTAGTTCGAAAAAAAATACGCACTATAGTGTGGCGCGTAGTGTCTCATGAGGCCGAGGAAGTGCCTCAGGCGCACGTGCCTGGGTGCGCGGCGGGACACCAGCAGCCTGAAGGCGTGGCGAGCAGCGCGCCGCCGGTGCAGCAGCAGAGCGCGGCACTTCTCGCGTTCGATGCGCGTGAACGTCTCGTACACCACCGCCAGCATCTGGGAACCAGCATCATCATCATCATCGTCATCGTCATCATCACCGTCATCGTCACCATCATCATCTGCTTCTGCCTTATCCCATTCATTTGAATAAGTAAGCAAGAAACTTGCGTGTGGCCCTAAAGTGTGAGTACATCAGACTTTTCGACTTAAAAATGTAAAGTTACAACAATTATTTAAAAGAGCGACACGCAAGTTTCTTACTCGTTCTAATTGTAATGAGACAGATTTGCGAATGTGTGGTAAATTAAAAAAAAATAACTTAAAATTAATAGAACTAGAAATAATCTTTATTCAAATAAACTTAATATAAGCACTTTTGAATAGTCAAGTTTTTTTATTCTACCGCTCATTCTGAATGCAGACTCATCACAAGAAGAATGAGCAAGAACCTTGTGTGTTGCTCTTTTAAATAAATATTGATTTACTTATATTTAATTAACAACAAGGGTTAGGCATGTGACAATCAACATAGAAACCGCTACGCACTTAATCTCTGTTCAATCAGATAACATTGTCAGCGCTATGAACTTTAAGTTAGATATTTTCTACAAAAACATTATTATCAGTTATAAATTCTTCAATTAAGTTTATTTGAATAAATGATTTTCTATTATATTCTATTTGGGGTCGGCGTAATATGTTTTCTTCGTGCATCCCTGTTCGCAGTGTTCTCTTATCCTCTCCCATTCTTGTCATATCATCTTTATAATAGAGATAAACTGTGTTTATGTCTATTTCGACTCGATACTATTATGTACTAACATACTAGCTGTACCCGCGGTTTCACCCGCGTGACTATAATAGCCTATGTGTTTTTCTGATGTATAAGCTATATTACTGTAAAGTTTCATCAAAATCCGTTCCGTAGTTTTTGCATGAAAGAGTAACAAACATCCACCCATACTCACAAACTTTTGCGTTTAAAATATTAATAAGATTAGCAAAAAAGTTAGTCAATTGACTTACCTTTTATATGTAGTCAATTGACTTACTTTTTATATGTAGTCAATTGACTTACTTTTTATATGTAGTAAGTTGACTTACCTTTTATATGTAGTCAATTGACTTACTTTTTATATGTAGTCAATTGACTTACTTTTTATATGTATTGTCAACATAAGAGATTGACTTAATTATCTTCCCCCTTTTCTCGTATGCTTCGAGTAGTCAATTGACTTTTTTGTATTGTGCGATGATTGATGCAACATAAGAGATATGTGGGGGTCTGAAATAATTATCTTCCCCCTCGAGTCTTCTCGTATGCTTCGTTACTTTTTATAGTAGTCAATTGACTTACTTTTTATATGTAGTCAATTGACTTACTTTTTAAATGTAGTCAAATGACTTACCTTTTATATGTAGTCAGTTGACTTACTTTTTATAGTAGTCAATTGACTTTTTTTGTATTGTGGGATGATTGATGCAACATAAGAGATATGTGGGGGTCTGAAAAAAATATCTTCCCCCTCGAGTCTTCTCATATGCTTCGTTACTTTTTATAGTAGTCAATTGACTTACTTTTTATATGAGTATATATTTGATTTATTTCAATTGAATACAATTAATTACTCGTAAAATGTAACTTACCAAATTCATAAGCACGTAAAGGACTGTGATAATATAGAGGATGAAGAACAGCGCGTACCATTTTGATTTAGCATACGAAGGCATCATCACGTCCGGGAAACTGTAACACAATGACTTATCTATACATATACTGTTATGATAATCGATAGTCTAGCTATAAGACGTCACTAGTTGTAAAAGGATGTGGACACAACACTAGTCTATTATTTGGCCAAACCAATGCATATACATATAAATAAAATTGGAGTGTCTGTTTGTAATATTGAAATAACCGTCTTTTACTACATGCATATGAATATAAATACGGGTACATACACCAAAATAACATTTTTTACAAATTTTTGTCTGTCTGTCTGTATGTTTGTTCCGGCTAATCTCTGAGTTATCTATACATCTATACATATATATAAAATTGGAGTGTCTATTTGTAATATTGAAATAACCGTTTTTTACTACATGCATATGAATTATGAATGTAAATACGGTATGTATATACCAAAATAACATTTTTTACAATTTTTGTCTGTCTGTCTGTTTGTTCCGGCTAATCTCTGAGATGGCTGGACCGATTTTGACGGGACTTTTTTTGGCAGGTAGCTGCTGTAATAAGGAGTAACTTAGGCTACTTTTATTTTAGAAAAATAAATTCCACGCGAACGAAGTCGCGGGTGCAGTTAGTTAAATATATAAATGAATACCTAATGAATTTAATAAATATGAATAACGTTGCTTGGTAGAAACAGGAATAATAAGATTCAAATATATATATGAATTAACTATTCCGGCAAAGGTGTTGCCATATAAACTTAAATACTAATGTAATGTATGTTGGACTCCAGTCTCCGCAATTAGCCTCTCATTCGGGCCGTTGTGCGTGCAGAGCCAGACTACTAAAGTAGCCAGCCAAGCTCCTCCCATAACTATAACTAATATTGCTATTCAAAAATAGGGGTTAATGATGGAAGGATGAAAATTTAGGGTTAAAATTATATCCAAAATAATAAAAAAAATGTTAGGGATGGACAACCCTTATCACTCTATATTACTTATTATTTTTTAATTTCTTTTTAAATTTAGTTTTGTCCATCTAAGTACATGTCAATTGTATTTTTATCACCAGTGAACAAATTGCCTTTATTATTAATAAGTTTGTCCACTTCTAATAATTTATTTTTATTTATTTGGACATATTTTTTATCCTTAGGGGTATATAAATAGACCCATAACACAAGCTCTGCTTATCGTGGTACTAGATGGTGGGCTAATTATCCAGGTTATAAAAAAATATATCTTTCTATACTTACTTTGCTGTAGTCAGCAAAACGAACATACTGACAAACGAATCGCTGATTGTCTGAAAGTGTCCATTATCAATATGTTCTGAGAATAAATAGTAACCCAATAGTGAATATGTCGCCACAAAGAACATTAAAAGACCTGAAACATAAATACAGTATTAATTTCACTTCAGACTTTTATATTTATACTTAACTTAAGTATAACTTATTTATTTTGTTACTCTATTTATAGTATTTATTCTATCTATTTACTTATATTTATTTGGTAATTTGTAATCTTGCAATCTTCAAAATGTAACGCTGAACAACACTTATTTAACAGTGCAAAACGCAAGTACTGGTCATACTTCTTGTGATGAGTCTGCGTTCCGAATGGGTGATAGAAAAAAAATATATGACTATTCAAAAGATTCAAAAATTCGGGGATCAAAATTACGACGGCCTGAGCCGAAGTTCGAATCACTAGCGGTGCCCTCAGACAAAGTTGTATCCGTGAGGCGGGAGTTGGCCTTCAGCCGCTCCATAAGTCTTTCCGCGGGTTTGGAGTGTAATCTGCACTCGCCTCGCTTTCCAGATCTAGACATGTTTACTTGTAATTTGCTGGAGTTTCGTAGGATGGCAGTAGATTATTTAGGTAGTATGTTAAATGGAGATTAGGTATTATTATTACCCCTAAGAGGATAAAATACCCCTATTTTATCCCCTTAGGGGTTTATCAAATTCCTCTCTTAGGGGATGCCTACGTCATAGTAGCTTTATGCATGCAAAGCCTCAGCCCGATCGGTTTAAAATTGATAAAGTTTCATACAAACTTTCATTTTATGCCCTTGGGGGTAGAATTAATCAAAATCCTTTCTTAGCGGATGCCTACGTTATAACATCTACCTGCATGCCAAATTTCAGCCCGATCCGTCCAGTGGTTTGGGCTGTGCGTTGATAGATCACTATGTCAGTCAGTCACCTTTGAGTTATATATATTTAGAGATAAAGATAATTAAAACATACCTAACATATCAATGATAGGTGGTAATGATTGGAGTATTTGTCTGATAAACCTCCTTACTCCACCGCAATGTCGCGTGTCAACCAAGAAGATCGGTCGGAGTGCTCTCGTCACTCGAAAATGTGAAGATTGTCTACATAGAACCACTACTGCTTCTAATAGCATTATTAAAAGTGTTATACCCTGAAATACAAACATTATAATATATAAATTATAGAAATAATAGTTTTATTAGAGGTAGACTATAAAAATCGTCTGAGTCGTCTCATCCTTATCATCATCTCAGCCCGGAAGACGTCCACTGCTGAACAAAGGCCTCCTCCAAAGATCTCCACGACGATCGGTCCTGCGCTGCTCGCATCCAACGCCTTCCAGCAATTTTGACCTGATCGCCACGCTTGACATGCGGGTTGGCGATCGTAGTGTGGTAGTAATTTCTGTACAACACTGCTGCCCGTGCTCTGATCTAGGAATCTCTTAGTCGTCTTTTACGACATCCACGGGAAGAAATAGGTGATGCTATTCTTACTGTGACGCCACTCGCACAGGTATGACATACTCACCTATTTCATCTGCCAAACTGCTTGTTTTTTAAGCTGTAGCTGTTCGTTAGCGGGATGCGGTTATGAAGTGAAATTATAGGATAAGAGGCGTGACATCTCAGTCCTCTCAGTCCACGGGTATTACTATCGGTAGTACAGTTTATGTTCGCAACGATTACCATTTACTATCAGGTGGGCTTTCAGTTTGTTTCCATTCCGATAAAAAAATGGTTTGATTAAAATATAGAATAATAACAAGTAAAATACACGGTTCTTCTGCGAAATCATCGTGATTCCTGATCAATTTGCCACGATGTGCTAACTGACCTAACCTCATGCTCATCTTATTATTCTCCATTGCTGCCCGGCCAGCGTAAACCGTTAGCGCAGGCGGGAACACCATTCCATGAACATCAAAAATATAGACAGAGAAATGAACTTCTTAACATTCCATGATTTCACCGTGTGGCTGCCGGATCCATCGTGTGGCAGAGAGGGAAAGTCAGAGCAATTCCCAGTCCCGGTTTTGGGTAGACTGTGATTGGTAGATTGTTACCTGGTATTGATTTTTTGTAAATTTCTAATTGTAGTAAGGTTTAGTGTTAAAAACAACAAGATGACCACTGTCGTAGACCCCTTGCAGTTTGTCATAGACCCCTGAGGGTCGATATAGACCACTTTAGGAACCACTGTTCAAGAGTGACCTCATACAAACAAATTCAAAATAGAGCAAACTTGAACCATATATATCGAGGAGGTTAAATTAATCAATAGCAGGAAGTGTCTGGATGCGGGTGGACTGAGATGGGCAATCTCTGTATTTATTATCTTTACCATACATAGAGTTGCCATCTCTAATATTTGGAAACTAGTACAAGACGCGTGAAAACCCCGGATTTTAGAGTCCAGAATCCTGACATGTCAGCAGGTTTTTTAAAACATAGTCAGTGTTATAAAAAACAGTTACGTTGGCGGGCACACGTGGAGGATAATGAGTGCCAGTCAGTTAGCCCATCGTGACAAATTCACCAGGAATTTATCACGGTTTTCAGGAGAAACCGAGGGGGTCAACCTGACATGGTACATTGCTACTTTTGGGGTGATGAGTCCACATTACTAATAATCCCCTTTCCACAGCGCGACGGTTGACTGGCTCTACCAGTCAGAGAGAGGTACTGGTAGAGAACGCCATCAGGCACTGAGTCCGACATGTATACAATTTTGTGTGCAATAGAATAAATAAATAAATAGTCTATGGTTAACAGTATAATAAATTTTCTTTACTAACAGTTTGCTCACCTTTATCATAGTTCTTTTATGTTTTAGGATCGTGCTCCAGCCTATCCATTTCAACTTAAGGTGCAGTTCCACTCCAATGACTGTTAGCGCCATTAATTCTATCGTTCCATGTGCCCATACTGGAAGCTGAAATGTACATAGCTCATTTTACTAATAGCGATTTCGTCTTGGAATTTAACTTTATTATTCTAAAATAAAAGAAGTAACCTAAGTTACTCTTTATTACAGCAGCTATCTGCCAAATATATATATATATATATGTAAAATGTACCTTTGTCAAATGTGTAAATATATTTTTTTATATCAATAATGGTTGTCAATAAATGTTTTCCTTCTTCTTCTTCTAATAGATCTACATGAATAAAAATTACGATATTGTTAATTGAACAACGTTGAAACTCACCTCAAAAGCAGGTACAGCTGGATCTTCTGTAAACGCCAGCATAATTAGCACTAAAGAAGCGAGGAGGTCCAGTCCATGGTACCACGGGTTGTGGACTCTGAGGTACGCCGGTAACTCTTCAGGACTCGACGGGTGCGAGTCAAACTTCTCATTATTCAATCCTTCCTAAAATAGACTGAGTCTTATACATAATCTAGAAGGTAAATCTTGATGTATTGTTATTATATATAATAGATAACAGACGTATAAATTGTAATTATAGACAAACTAGTTTATTATTATATAAAAATCAATACCTCATTGTACAAACTATTTTAAACATTTTTTGACGTATTTTGAATAGAAAACAAACATTTTCGTAATAATTTTTTTCTATATGCGCTATTCCGCATATAGAATAAATTTATCTATCTATATATCTATATATTCTTTCTATCTATATATTCTATATGCGCAATAGCGCATATAGAATATACTTAATTATCTATTCATCAAAATGTTATATAAAGAACTTACCTCTAAGTATATAGCTGCCTCATGATAATTCATCTCCCAATGTTCATCCTCTGACATGTTAAGGCCTGTGTGGAGTGAGGATCTGCTGCCCATATCCAGGGTGCCAGTGTCGCCCGCGCCGCCATCTGAGTTCGTTCTTGTGTCTGCAAAATCAATAAAAAATACATAAATAAATGTGACAAATACGTACATACATATTGTACTAATACTTAATGGATTTATATTATTTTGTTTAATTCGGCTACTATTAGTGAGACTGCAAATATAATCTCTCTAAGAATCGTAGCCTTGTCGCCGAACAGTCGGCACTAGGCTTCCAAGCTATACTCAAATTCTCTTCTTTGCCTGAAGATACACGTAGCGAAATGCGGAGAGATCCTCAGTAAACTATATATAAAAAAATGTTACTTAATAAATTTATATTATTTTGTTTTTCCGCTACCATTAGCCCGTGTGAGACTACAAATATACTCTCTTTAAAAGTCGTAGTCGGGGCTCTGAACATGCAATACTCGATTTCCGGACTATACCCCAAACTCTATTCATTACCTGATGATGCTTGGTTTAGAGGCGAAACACGTAGCGCAATATGGGTAGAGCCTCAGTAAAAAATACATTAAAAAATGTTACTGAATGGATATAAATCCATGCGGAATTAAACAAAATTGTATAAACAATTTTGTTTAATTCCGCTGCCATTAACCTATGTGAGACAACAAATCTCTAAGAGTCATAGTCTGGTCTTCGAACAGTCAACACTAGATTACCAAACTATAACCAAAATCTATTATTTACCTGATAATATTTCGTTTAGAAGCGAAACATGTGTCGCAATATGGGTGTAGATACAATAACAGTCGGAATTTAAACACTAATATTCTAGTTGCGGACGTCAGGATTCCGCACTGAATATTTTTGTTCTCCCGCATGCTTATGATAGCGGATTTAAAAGAAATAATAATGAAATGGACTTCCGCCAAATAACACCTAATTAAATAAAATATATAAAAAAAATTATATAATCGCTGTCTGTTCATTGAGAGATATAAGAGAAAAAAATATTGGGAACTAGCTGACTAGCCCTATTTCGTCTATATCACACTTACTTGAGTTTAACAATTATATTTCGTCCAATTATATCTTTAAACACTAAAATCTTTTTAAATTATAGGCTACTAGCTACTCGCCTCGGCTTCGCATGGGTGTACATGTATTATATATATACCTTCCCCTTGATCACTCTATCTGTTTAAAAAAACCGCTTAGTAGTTTTAAAGATTTAAGCACACATAGGGACGGACAGACAGCGACAGCGACTTTGTTTTATACTATGTAGTGATGATATATTATTCTGATGTATAAGCTATAAGAAGAGAAAAACAAACATCTATATTTACTAACTTTCGTATTTATAGGATGTCACTGTTTTGATATAATTAAGCAATGGTTATTATAATTATGTCTGTTTCTCTGTATCTTTGTAAGCTGATAACCTGTGTTATGTTGTAAAAACTCTTTGGGCGCGATTTTTACTAATATATTTTGGTGTAATTCTTAAAGATATTGCTGTCCGATAAAATTAGATTACACAATACTTGTAAAAAATTACTCGACGACTTCAAACGGCTTTCTTACAAACACTACAATAGTTCGTCAACGATTTAGTGAAAACTGATTAATTCACTACAAGCGAATGCTTACGCAAATCTACATTACTTACTACACAACTAAAATAGCCTCTATGTGCACTAAATAATGTTGAAAATCGTACAACAAAACTCTTATTGCAACTGTTAACATGGCATTGCTGGAAGGTTTTTTGTTGAATAAAATAACTATTAATAATTTCAAGCTAATGTAGGTGATATGTTTATAGTGTGACACCTGTGGGGTAGATATAGAACACTACAGATATACCTCTCAAATATACATATATATATATATATATATATATATATATAAATATCCCCTTGGGCACTTTGTGGCTCAGACGTGCCGTATAGGTAGTTTTTTGTTGATCCTTTTTCACTTGTTGATCCGGAGGCCTTTTGTTGATCTAATGCCAGATGACCATATATAAATGTTGATCCGTTTTGAGCCACAACTGTCACGACGAGTAATAATAATAATTAAGCGATTTATACACGATTTTATACAAATCCACTTTTTTGGCATACGAGCAGTTCTTGATCCAATTCAAACGGGCCAATCAGGGTGCAGCATTTGCCAAGGGCTTCCTCATTGGCACGTTTGGGCTACTACATTATGGCTACAGTAACTTAATAATGTCTAGCTAGTATTTCAAAAATAATAGTCTACCTAATCTAAATATTTATAGAAATCAGTCTGGAGTAACGTGACTCCAGATCAAACCTCAATACTTGTTATTTTTTGGATGGGAATCTTTTCTTTTGTAACAACGTTACTGAGCGAATAAAGAGAAGACGCAACGGCGGATCCAGGGGGAGCGTCATGGAGGTCATGGGAGTCATGGGGGCGTCATGACTCTCCCCCCCCTTAAAACTTAGGTAGACCACTAATTGAACTAAAAAATAATGAAACAGCAAATTTTTTTGCACGATCGGAGTGTTGGTGCAGTAGTATTAATTATAATTAAACATTGTTACTTAAAACATAACAGTTAAAGTACTATAACACTAAAAGCAAAATAGGTATTTTCAAAATACTTTTTCAAAATAAATTACCCTTTGAGTTTTTGTTCAAACCTCAGATATTATATTTATTTTAGGTATATCAATCAATACATAGTATAGCATAGTACAGTCTGTCTGTCTGTCTGTTTGTTCCGGCTAATCTCTGAAATAGCTGGACCGATTTTGACGGGACTTTTTTGGCAAGTAGCTGATGTAATAAGGAGTAACTTACGCTACTGTTATTTTAGAAAAATAAAATAAAATTTCACGCGGACGAAGTCGCTTAATTAGTCTATAGATATACCGAGATTTAATGTTTAAGTTGCTATTATGTTATTGACAAAATTTTACTGTAATGTTACTATTACGTTATCTACACAATTTGTATTATTTTGGATGAATAAATAAATAAATAAATAATAATCTATACATCTATACATTTAATAAAAATTGGAGTGTCTGTTTGTAATATTGAAAAAACCGTTTTTTACTACATGCATATGAATATATATAAGGTACATATACCAAAATAACTATTTTTATAATTTTAGTCTGTCTGTCTGTTTGTTCCGGCTAATCTCTGAAATACACCGATTTTGACGAAAGCTGATTTATAAGGAGTAACTTAGGTTACTTTTATTTTAGAGAGAAATTCCACGCGGACAGTCGCGGGAACACCTTGTTTTTAATAAAAACATATATATAAGCCTGTTGTATGTAATATTGAAATAACCGTTTTTTACTACTTGCATATGAATATAAATACGGTATACACCAAAATAACATATTTTACAATTTTTGTCTGTCTGTCTGTTTGTTCCGGCTAATCTCTGAAATGGCTGGACCGATTTTGACGGGACTTTTTTTGGTAGGTAGCTGATGTAATAAGGAGTAACTTAGGCTACTTTTATTTTAGAAAAATAAAGTTAAAAACCACGTGGACGAAGTCGCGGGAACAGCTAGTGTATAATATATTAGAGATACCTACGTGTTTTTTTATTGATGACTAGCTGTACACATTTCGTCCGTGTTGAATACTTTATTTTTCTAAAATATAAGAAGTTAAATTCCACGCGGACGAAGTCGCGTGTACAGCTAGTTGTCGGTAGTCTAGCGATTTATCTAGCACACCGCTTTGATTCCTGCTTGGTGGTCGAGGGTTCGATTCCTCGGACGCTGCAAACATTTGTATTCATGAGTATGATTGTTTGTAACGGTCTGGGTGTTTTCTATATAGATAATATATATGTATTTACGAAAAAAAACTTTGTATTTATATCAGTTGTCTAGTACCCATAACATAATCTTCAGCTAGCTTAACTTGGGTAGATGAAGCTGTGTGAATTGTCCTGAGATTACTATTATTACTATAATAAATCTTTTCAAATCAGCCGATGTTTATTTTTGCCATAATACGTGCTGTTACCATGTGATAATATTACGTACGTACTTATTACTGTTTTAAATGTGATGCGTTCATTATTTATATTTCCTTTGAATTAAAGACAAATGTAAGTATATATATATATATACTTACATTTGCACACTTAGTTGATCCAGCCACGATCCGTAGATATTGCTGATTCCACTGTCTCTCTCTTTCTACCACTATAACGGTAGCGTGGTTAAATGTTGCCGTTCCGCGTTCTACCACTATCTTTGTATTCTAATATGCGATGTTGCCGTTCCGACCGAGACCATGCGTTGTTGCCAAATGTATTCGTCGATAGTAGTACTCGATATATATTTTTTCAACAATTTCCTGCAATAGTGAATCCGTATCGGCATTTTTTTTAAATGCACAAAGATTTTTTGGCTCTGAATATATTTAAAAATCATTTACTTGTGTGTTGATGAATTTATATACTAGTACATGAAGTACCTAATACTTGTTTTGATTTGAATAGGTAGCGATATTATGAATTTATTATACGTAATCTAAAGATTTTGACGAAATAAAAGTAATTAGTTATCTGTTAACCTTGACTTCATGCTGGCACCAGTATTATCAGATGATGAACATACTCTTCGAAAACTTACAGCAGAAATATCGTGTTTGGACTCATTAGATAGGTCTCGATGAATAGAGTTTAAAAAACTTAAAATAAATGGTACATTAGAAATAATGTATAAAAACCCCTTACGTAAAATTCAACCACTTTAAACTTAATAATAATAATAATTAGGAAAAGAGAAAAGCTATACATGCACTGAAAGTAATTGATGCCTTCCACACAATATTTTCAGTATTAAACAACTCTGTTTGTTCAGTAAAAGTGTAAATACACTGGTAACCTTTAATCATATTTTATATGCAAACATTACATATACAAACACTAAAGTTTTATTTCAGAATAGCCAGTAGTTTTCAAGAAATAAGTCTTTGAAATTGTACGTGTAACTTATATATATACCTACTAGTTTTTTCACCATAACAAACAACACCAATATGGCCTAGTTAGTAGTTTACCTGTGTAC